TCAGTTAATGGGGTAGTTACATAACTTCACATCAACTTGAAGATACAAAAAGTGTAGTGGTGGCATTAAATCTGTCAATCAGGTCACACAGTCTGATGGTGCCTCCTTGTGGGCATGGCCTTCTCATAAGGAAGGCCCTGAGAACCTCCTCTCTTTCTGCCTTCACCTTCCTACTGTTGAGTCACTTGGAGAGCGACAAGAGCCACCGCCATTGGATCCACATGACTTTGTCACCACTAGCCTGTGATTTTCCGGCGTTCTGCATCATTGCATGTGGCTGTGTGAGTCTGAAGAGGGACTTATGGACAAGTATCAGATTTATGGACTTGAGTTGGACTGGGCTGACATGTTTTCTTGATATACAATTTCTTCTTGATATAAAACTCTTTCTTACACATATATGAGTGTCATTGGATTTGTTCCTCTAGTCCACCTGTCTTAACACAGTTGGCCAAGTAGTTGTCTTCCAAATATCTGACATACTATGGAATGATATGATATCTATATTATGTCCCAATAAAAAGCTTTTGATAAAAAATAAATATTAAAAATTTTCAAATGAAATATCTCTTACAGAAAAATGAGTGATTTGAGTGCTTCATCAAATTATTGAAATATTTCAATTCCATCAATTTCCAGAGCTTTAATTTTGGCTAATGCTTTCTGTGCAGCTTGAACTTTTTCCTTCAACACCATTGGTTCTTGCTCATACACTACCTCCTAAAATGGTGGAATGTCAATTAAGTATTTTAGGTATTGACGCTGTATTCTTTCCATCTTCTTTTGATCCTCCTGCATCATTCCATATTTTGCCCATTGAATCTTCTATATTTAAACTCAAGGCTTGAAATTTTTCTTGAGTTTTCTACGTTTCAGATATGCTGAGTGTGTTTTTCCCTTTTGGTTTTCTAACTCTACGTCTTTACACATTTCATTATCATATTTGCTTTGTCTTCTCCAGCAACCATTTTAATTTTCTATTCAGCATTTTGACTTCATCCTTTCTTCTATTTGATTTAGCTGATCTGTGATTAAGAACAAGTTTCAGAATCTCTTCTGACATCCACACTGCTCTTTGCTTTCTTTCCTGTCTGTTTAGTGACCTTTTGCTTCTTTCACAAATGATGGTCTTGATGTCCTTCCAAAACTCATCAAGACTTCTGTCACTGGTGTGCAATGCATCAAATCTGTTCTTGAGATGGTCTCAAAATTCAGATGGAATATTCTTAAGGTCATATCTTGGTTTTTGTGGACTTGTTTTCTTTAGCTTCACCCTATAGTTACATAAAAGCAATGGGTGGTCTGCTCCACACTCAGCCCCTGGCCGGGTTTTAGCTGCTGATAATGAGCTTTATCCACCCTGCCTTTGCACAGATGTAATCAATTTAATTTCTATGTATTCTATCTGGGGAAGTTAATGTGTATAGGGGACTTTGGTGATGTTGAGTTAGTTTTTCAAAATTGTATCATGAGATCTCCAGTTCTGTTTCTTTCACCAGGTCCATGTTTTCCAACTACTGTTCCTTCCTCTTTGTTTCCAACTTTTCATTCCAATCACTAATAATTATCAATATATCTTGATTGCATATTTGATCAATTTCTGACTGAAGTTGTTAGAATTCTTCAGTTTCTTTATCTCTGGTTTGGTGGTGCATAAATCTGAATAATATTTGTACTGATTGGATTTCCTTGAAGGCAGATAGATATAATCCTGTCACCGACAGCATTGTCTCTCATGATTGATTTTGTAATGCCATTTATGACAATGCATGACACACCATTCCTCTGTTTTATTTCAGGTGTAGTAAATCATGATTTGTTAATTAAACAAGAATACTATCAGTTCATTTTAGCTCCCTAATGCCTAATATGTCAATGTTGATGTGTTCCATTTCATTTTCTATGACTTCCAATTGCCATAGGTTTTCAGTAGCCCCTTCCTCTGGATTGGGGAGCCTAGTTCTTCTTCATTGTCTCTTTTAGTGGGGAAGTTCAACTGAAACATGTTCACCTTGGGTGAAGCTCAACCTCATGAAAATATTTCTGAAGACATGAAGAATGGTGAAGAAACCCTAATTTCCCCAGCTATCACAATGAATATTGGCTGGGGTCTTCCAGGCTTGTTTTCAAAGAAGCAGCCATTTAAGTAAAGTCCACATAAAGAAGTACACCAACCTGTGTGATCCAAGGATTGTACACAATATAACCCAAATATTAAGGAGGGAATGATATCAGAGCTTAAATTGTTAACACTTGATTTTCAGACGGCTATGGATGACATTGGAAGCCGGAAATCCATTTGCAGGGTCCACACATGAATTAAGTCCCCTTTGAATCCCCTTGGATCATAGTTGAGGGATATGAATAACCCTGTTATTAGACAGAGAGCATTGTAAAGTCCATTATGGAAGACATAGGTTAAAATGTACTATCTTATCATTTGATCTCCATTTTGATCCATTTTAAAGCTGTTTCAGTTTTGTTTGTTTTTTTAAGTAGAGAGGAAATACATGTGGTTTAAGCTCTCAGTGAATCCCCTCTGACTATGAACCAATGATGTAAATAGTCTTGCTATCCTGTGGAATGCATTGAAAAGTAGAGAAAGTGAATTGTTGCAGGTCTAGTTAGGTTAAAATGTAGCACCCTATCATTTGACTTCCCTTAAGATTCCTATACTTTGTTCTAGTTTTTAATACTTTCTGCTTTCTTTTCTATTGAGATTTTTATCTTTTTTACTTTGTTATTGCTGATTTTTGAAATGTTGTTCTGTATATGAAATGAATGGTAGGTAAATCGATAGAGACAATAATTGGATTAATGGTTCCTTGCAGGTATAGCAAGGCAGGTTGGGAGAAATGAGAAGCTAATAACGATGAGTGCAAGAATAAAGAAAAAGTTCTAAAAATGGTTGTGGTGATAAACTCCTCTTGATGTGACCGAACTGTTGAATTGTATAATAGGTGAATTATAAGCCAATAACCATTGGGGGGGACATGTACAGTCTCAGAAATTTAATAAAAGTTTGCCATGAGTCAGAATCAACTCAATGGAAATGGGTTGGTTTGGGTTAGGTAGTTGAGGCCAACTGCTGTGGGTTAAATGTTAGGCTGCTAGCAGGAAGATTAGGATTTCAAACACATCAGCTTCTTTGTTCAAAAAATAAGAGGCTAGGGTGTTCTGCTCTGGTAAAGATTCACAGTCTCAGAAAGCCTATGTAAAGGTTGCTATCGGTCAGAATCAACTGGATGGCAATGAGGTGGGGGTTTTTTTGTAATTGAACATGTGTCAAAATCATCTGATGGCAAGCGATGAATAGGGGAGAGTTTAGTAGTCAAATAAGAACCATTTGCAACATCCAGGGGTCTAAACCTGTCAGAGAAGATTCCAAATGAATCTTACTGGGTATTTACTGCCACGTTGTGGTCTATCTTTCATTGCTCAGCCATGAAATCCTTCCAACCAACTATAGACCCTCACTGGTTAATGAGTAGAACAAAATGAGTAGAATGAAAACTTAAAAAAAAACTGTCTCAAATGCATGGTTGGTAGCTGATGTATTCATCATAGTTACAAGTGGCATTGCTGAAACAGAAGCGGGCCATGATTGGGACGTGTACATTTGATCAGACAGAGAAACGTACAAATTTGGTCTAGGGATTTGCAAGGCAGTCAGAGCATGACTCATGATGATGCAACCCCCAATAGAATGGTCTCCATCAAGGACACACCCAAGAAAATCCCCAGGAAGGTTTGCTCCTTGCTGGGCTTGCTGGGGAGGAAGTGGTGGGAGTAGGGGGGATGGAGGAAGCATACATTCTAATGCATTTTGTCTGAGGGCAAGTCTATTACATCTCTTTTCAGTCATTCCAGGGAATTCAATGTAGGTTTGATACACTTGGGGACTCCACAAATGGGTTTGGAGCTTTCACTGTGATCCATAGCCTTCTGAAAACCAAGGTTTCATAATTTAAGCTTCAATTCAATTTCCTTCTCTGATCATGGATTTTATTATTTACAATCCTTGGATCGCACAGGATGGTGCCCCTTCCATGCATAATTTAATTTTTTTATTTGAAAAAAAAATCTTAATGATTACATAAGGTACAAACGATTTCAAAATTCCTAAGGGGGAGATCTGGAGCAGAAACCCCAACATTCTCATTCTACAACTCCAAATCTCAAACCTTATGATTTATAAAATGAGAAAATAAGCTTATCTCTCAGTATATACTTAACACTGGGTGGTTTCTCTGCAGAAGAAAGAAGAGGCTATCTGCTCCCATAAATGTTTACAGTCTAGAAAGCCCAATATAGGGTCACTGAATTGAAATTGCCTCAATGGTAGAGGGTTTAGGGGTTAATCAGTATTTGTGGATCTCTGCTAGTGAGATTGTAAAACACTCGGCTGATAACTGAAAACTTGGTGATTTGAAGCAGCCAGTGGCTCTTTAGGAGGAAAACCCTCTTGTTAATCTGCTCTTACAAAGATTAAAACAAAAAAATAAATAAGTTATTGCTGCCAAATCAAGTCAAACTCATCGTGACCTTATAGAACAGAGTACAACTTCACCATAGGGTTTCCAAGGTTGTGGGTTGATAAGCATTGTCTGCTTGCTGAAAGTTTGACTGGAAGTTGGAACTCACCAGCCACTTCATAGAAGAAAAATGAGGCAGTCTGCTCCCATAAATATTTACAGCCCCAGAAACCCTATGAGGAAATTCAGTAGTGGGTTATGCTTGAGGGAAGCAGAAGGCCACCTCTTTCTCCAATGGAGCTAATGGTGGGATTGAATCACTTGTCATTGGGTTAGTAGCCAAGTGTTTTAATCACTGTGCCACCGGGTCTCCTTGTACCATCCAAGGACCTTTACATCTCTTCTGAGTAGAATCTTACACAAGGTGAGAAGAGACAGTGACATGCAGCCACACACAGGAAGCAGACAGCATGGTAACCACAGTCTTCCTAAGGCACTCGCTACTTCTAACCTGAGATCGCTCACCATTTTTGAAGTGGAGGAAACAGAGGACAGTAAGATCCCAGAGGTCTGAGACTGGGAGCTGGACTTGGTCTTCCTGGTGATCCATCTCTTGTATTCTTCTCGCACCTACAAAAAGAGGCATATGAGGTTGACATGCATCACTCACAGATGCAGGAACGGGGATCTGCACCAACATGTCTGGAGGAGGGATTTAGTGGGGGCCTACGTACCTGATGGTTGAGCAGGCAGTGAATGAGAAAGATCAAGGCCCCTTGCAGGCTGTTGATGATGGTGAACAAATAGGCCATAAGACTGGCTATGGGTCCAATCTGGAAAATTCCCAACACCCAGGAGCAACCCAAAATGAAGAGTTGGGCAAAAGCCTTGAAGGTAAGTAACCTGGAGGAGATTTGCAAAGGACAAGGCTCAAGAAAGAAACCATGGGTTGTGCAAATGTTTAAGTTAAGTTAAGGTTAAGTTAAATCTACCCAAAGGCACCTCAAATAAAGACCTGGGATATGCTTATAGAAGAGTACAGCTTTGAAAATCCCATGAAGCATTTCTACTTTGCACATACAAGGTTGTCATGAATCAGAATGACTGCAGCTACCAACAAGGTTCTGAGAAGTCTGCCATTCCCTGGTAGGCTGCACTCCCAGGAACAAGGTCTGTGACTGCCACTAGGTGACCTACCACCTGGGTTGGAATAAACACTTGGCAGAGTCTTAAATGGCCACAGATATGAAAACTGAATCCCATGGACATTTAAAATGTTCTGGCCTACAGATTTATGTGGATTTAGAAATATGTTGTTAGTTTCTGCCAAGCTAGGTATCCACATGACTCTACTTGGGTCCACAATTAGTACCCTTGGAATCAGCAATCAAGAGACTACATGAGGCATTGAATTAGGAAAATCTGCTGAAAATAGCTCTTTAATAAATGCCTGCCCAGAGCATTTTGCATACACACACACACACACTAGGATAGGTAAAACTATATAGACAGTAACTGTATTAAAAGTTTCTTGGATTATGGTTGATAAAGCACTGGAAGCACTCAAGACAGCTACTTGGCCAACTAACTGGAAGAGATCCAAATTTATACCCATTCCAAAGAAAGGTGACCCAACAGAATGCTCAAATTATAGAACAACAATGGTTGCAGCAGGACATTAATAGGGAATTGCCAGAAGTTCAGGCCATGCAGAAGAGGACATGAAACAAGGGATATCATTGCTGACGTCATACGGATCTAGGATATAAGCAGATGATTGATATAAGCATGTTTGATCTTGGATATAAGCAGATATAAAGATGTTTACTTATGTTTTATTGACTATGCAGAGGCATTCAACTGTGTTGACAGTAAAAACATTAATAAGCTTGAGAAGAATGGCAATTCCAGAACACTTCATTGTACTCAGGAGGAATTATACATGAATTAATAGGCAGTTGTGTGAACAGAAAAAGGGTTTAAAATCGGGAATAACCACAGGGAATCCAGGACAGATGAACCCCTCATGACCAGTGGTAAGAGAGGCAATACCGGGAGAGTGGAGGGAGGGTGGGGTAGAAAGGGGGAACTGATCACAAGGATCTACATATAACCCCCTCCCTAGGGGATGAGCAACAGAAAAGTGGATGAAGGGAGACGTCGGTCCATGTAAGACATGACAAAATAATGATAATTCTTAAATTATCAAGGGTTTGTGAGGAAGGGTGTGGGGGAGGGGGGAAATGAGGAGGTGATAACAAGGGCTCAAGTAGAAAGCAAATGTTTTGAGAATGATGATGGCAACAAATGTACAAATGTGGTTGACACAATAGATGTATGTATGGATTGTGATAAGAGTTGTATGAGCCCCCAATTAAATGATTTAAAATAAATAAAACGATTACCCCATTTTTTTAAAAAAAGAAAGAAAGAAAATTTAATGAACTGTTTTGAAGCCTCCTTTGTACATGTTTGAAATAAAATTATTTGAATGTCAAGAAAAATTACACAGTTCAGAATTTATTTTTAAAAAAGGAATAATATTGGGCAGTATTATCCTCACACCATATTTGTTCAATCTGTAGGCTGAAAAAACTCATCAGAGGAACTAGTGTATATGAAGAAGAATGTGGCATTAACAACTTGACATATGCAGATGGCACAACCTTGCTTGCTGAAAGTGAGGAGAACCTGAAGCACTTGCTGATGAAGACCACGGATTGCAGTCTTCAGTATGAGTTGCAACCAAATCCTCACATGTAAGAAGACCAAAAATCCTCACACAGAGACCAGTAGGTAGCATCATGACAAATGGAGAAAAGGGTGAAGTTGTCAAGGATTTTGCCTTGGATTGGCTCCACAATCAATGTTCATGGAAGCACCAGTCAAGAGATCAAAAAATGTGTTACATTAGGTAAATCTACTGTACAAGACCTCTTTAGAGTATTAAAAAGCAAGGATGTTACTTTGAGGACTAAGATGACCAGACCCAACCTGTGGTATTTTCCATTGCCTTATATGAGTATGAAAGTTAGACATCGAATATGGATGACCAAAGAAGAATTGATGCATTTGAATTGTGGGGCTGGAGAAGAATCTTAAAAGTACCATGGACTAGTAAAAGGACAAACCTATCTGTCTTGGAAGAAGTACGACCAGAGGGCTCCTTAGAGGCAAGGATGGTCCTACATACTTTGGACGTATTGTCAGGAGAGACCAGTCCCTGGAGAAGGACATTGTGCTTGGTAAAGTGGGCTGGGGGACAACTAAAAAGAGGAAGGCTTCAAAGAGATGAGTTGACAACATGGCTGTGATAATGGGCTCAGGCATGGGAACAAGTACAAGGATGTGAAAGATCCTGCAGTGTTTCTATCTGTTATGTACAGGGTCAATATGAGTCAGAGCCAACTCAATGGCACATAACAATGGCGTACAGTTCTGGTGGGGGAAGTTGGGTGGAAATGAAGAACTATTAATAAAGAGTACAAGAAAGAAGAAACTGCTCTAAAGTTTATTGTGGTGATGATTGCACAGCTCTTTTTAATACGTATAAATCACTGAATTATACCATATGAGAATTATATGTCAATAAAACCATTAAAAATTTTAAACAAAACAAAAAGGAAAACAAAACAAAAAATGTTAACAGCCACTCAAAAGGTTAAATAGGAAACTTTGGGAGCAGAGAGTTTATGCTAATGGTACGAGAATAATTTGTATCTTTAGGATGAGGATGGTTGTACAACTTGAAGAATGTAATCAAGGTCACTTAATTGTACATATTGTTGTTAAGTTCCAACCCATAGCTGCCCCATGTGCAACAGAATGAAACACTATCCAATCCAGCACCGTCCTCACAATTATTCTTATATTTGAGCCCATGGTTACAGCCACTGTGTCAACCCATCTTGTTGAGGGTCACCTTCTTTTCCACTGCCTCTCAACTTTACCAACCATGATGTCCTTCTCCAGTGACTGGTCTTTCGTGATCACATAGCCAAAGTATATGAGATGAAGTCCCATTATCCTTGCCTCTAAGGATCATTGTGCTTGTAATTCTTCCAACACAGTTTTGTTTGCTTTTTTGGCAGTCCTTGGGACTTTCAATATTCTTCACCAGTATCGAAATTCATTTGATTCAATTATGGAATCAAGTGAATGGATTCTTCTTCAATCTTCCTTATTCAATGTGCAGTATTCACATATATATTGATTATGTAGAAATTGGTTTTATAACCCTTCTCGGCCTTTTGGCTAAGACCAAGTGTATAAATTGATTTTATTTGTAGCCTACCACTTCAACAAAGAGCCCTAGTGGTGTAATGGCTAAACACTCAGGTGCTAATCAAAAGGCCAATAAATTGAACTCACACAGAAGCTCCTTGCGAGAAAGTCCTGGCCATTTGTACCCCTAAAGATGACAGCCTGGGGCAATTATCCTCCATCAAATGGGGTCACTACAAGTTGAAGTTGGCCCAATAGAACTTAACAACAAAAATATATATTCAACAATGATACACAAATATGAATATATGTACACATCATGTATCCCTGTTGAATATATATTCATATTGATATGTGTGTGCCATTGTTGATATATACATACACATTTATATATGACATCTTTAAAATGTTAAAAATCAGAATGAATTCAAGATGAATCAAAGACTTACCTATAAACCGTAGAACAATAAAGGCCATCAAGAAAAAAATTGGGACAAAGTTAAAGGTTCTACTACAAGGCCCCAATACACTACTGCACATAATGAAAAATATTCACACTATAGAAGACAAAATGATGGAAGGACTAGGAATTTCTAAAACTATGACATCTGTGCACATCAAAATACTTCAGCAAAAGAATTAAAAGAAAGCCTGTAGATTGGAGGAAATATTTAGAAATGATATATAAGATAAAGGGCTAATTTCAAAAATCTATAGAAAACTACAACACCTTCATAAGAAAAATACAATAGTCCAATAGAAAAGATATGAACAAACAATGTACTAAAGATGCCATCCTGGTGGCCAACAACCATATAAAAAATATTCACATTCATTAGCAATAAGAAAAATATGAATTAAAAACAACAATGTGATTTAACTTTACACTGTAAATGTCTGCAAAATTACCAAGAAAATATAAAAGCTAGAAAATAATAAATACTGGAGAGGACGTGGTGAGTTTATAATGCTGGTGGGACTGTAGAATTGTACAACCATGATGGAAATCAATATGGTGCTTCCTTAAACAAATGAAACTCCAATTACCTTCTGATCCTGCAATACCTTCATAGAGTGTATACCCTAAAAATCTTTTTTTTCTGTGAGTTAGCAGCTCAAAATGTATCTCACAACATCACCAGGGCTCTCCCATAAGCCTTATCGTCTGAGACACCTTGTAGACAGTTTTACTCTGTCACTTGGGATCTTTATGCATCAACTCAATGGCTCCCAACAACACCTCTAAAGAGTAGTGGTTTGAACCAACAGCACCCAGCAAGAAAGGCTTGGTGATATGTTCACCTACAGTTCATAACCTAGAAAACCCTATGGGGCAGTTCTACTTTGTCACACAAGGTCACCATGAATTGAAATTAACTCAACATCATCTAACCAAAAACAATAGATGAAGAAGCCGAGACACAGGAAGGTTATATGACTTCCTTAAGGTCACACAGCTAGTCAGTGGAAGAGCTAGGTTTCAGTCCAGTCTGACTCCAGCTCTAGACACTGTACTATTCTAATCAAGCCTCACCAGCCACACTCCTCGTCCTTGGACACAGGGCCAAGCACTCAATAAGCATTTGCAGGAGAAAATAAGAAAGAGGGTCTGTACCTGCTGTCTTTGAGTGTTGAAATGTCTGTGTTGACACAAGAAAGTTTCTTCCTCAGGTTCCACAATGTCCAGGTGAGGAGGATAGTGTTGACCTACAAAGACAAGCAGAGGGATATACCTACAAGTTAGAATTAAAGCCAGGGTAAAGACATAGACCATGGCCTTGAATGGATAGTTCTTTCTTTTCTAGTTCTTCCCTTAGCATCTCAGGTGCCCCTAGTAAACTCATTAGGTCACTAACCAAGAGATTGGAGTTTCAAGTCCACTCAGAGGTGCCTTGTAAGAAAGGTGATGTACTTCCAAAATATCAGCTATGGAAAATCCTAGGGAGCATAGTTCTACCCCAACATACATGGAGGCGCCACCAATCAGGATCAAGTCAGGATCAAGTTTCAGTATGGTAAATTACTTTATATGGCCCTTCTATCTGTGGTCTTTTGATTCCCACAAAATGATGGGGTTAGCCTATGCAATAAGCTGTTTGTGACCACTACAGGGATTGGGCAGCCTGGGAACAATGTAAATACAGTTTTCAGAACTCTATTGAGGGGATTAATCCATTTTGCCATTTTGCTGGAGTTAAAAGGAATCAACCCCAGAGGTGGGAAGGGGACCTCACTACCATCAAGAGGAAGGGCCAGGAGTGGAACCCCATCCTTTTAACTTAGCATCACTGAAATGAGAACCTCCAAGACTCTGAAGACAGAGAGAGAGAGAGAGAGAGAGAGAGAGACTAGAGAGGGTGAGAAGTGACAGCAAGCAGAGCAGAGTCCAGTGACAAAGAAATGTCAGTTCAAGGAGGTATGGTGGATACCAATTCAGATAGAGGGAGAGCTGAATGCCTTCAGGTAGGAAACTTGCTGGCAGAGTCAGGAGCCTACAGACGTTTACTGTCAAAGGTAATAAACCTGGTAACATTAAGCGGAGCAGGACAAAGACCAAACAGAGAGTAAGAGCCAGCCCAAGAGTGCATGGCCCAGTGGCAGCAACTGAGAAGAGGCTGTCCTGATCAAGAACTCTATCCTGGATTGTTCCTTTTACTTCTAAGTTGATCTTGATCTTGAATTGCAATCTTCCACTTCTTTAATAAGCTCAATAAATCCCAGAACTGTGAATGTGGTCTGTGAGTTCTCTGTGGATGTTCAATGAATTATCACACCCAGCAGAAACACAGAGCATGCCATGGGAAGGATGACGGGTGTTTGAATTGGTAAAAAAAAAAAAAGTGGATGGTGAAAGCATATCTGACCTCAACCTCGTAGAGATCAGCCTAGGGTGGGTGTTGACCTTGGTTTTTCTCTCCAACCCCCTTGTGAAGCTAAGTGACTCTCTCTCTCATGTACAGGCAAATGTTTGCTTACTGTTTTGCTTTCAGTATCTCAGATAGGAGATGCAATCCTTAAGGCAGGACCCTTCCATCTCAGCAAGGCTTACCCTTGGGATTGGATCATTCACTGGAGTGAAGACTGTCCTCGTGATTATTGTTTTCAGTTACTGTCTAGTTGATTCTGACTCATGGAGTCTCCACGTCTGTAGAGTAGAGTCTATGGGGTTTTTTAAGCTGTGAACCTCAGGATAGATTCACACCACGACCCTTTCAACTGATAGGAGTCAAGTAATGTATCATTTGTTACACTCTGGGACTTCTGACTCCATGAATCATTTGTTGTTACATTCTTGTTGAGTGTCATTGAGTCTATTCTGATGTATAGTGGTCCATGTGTCAAACAGTAACTTCCCCATGGGATTTCTAGACTGTAATCTTCACTGAAATAGATCACTAGGGTTTTTCCTACCTGGAAGAGTCACTGAATGAGGGCAAACTGCCAACCTTTCAGTTAGAATCCGAGTTCTTCACCATTGTATCATTTAATTTTGATTGAGCTCTGGCAAACACCATATTGTTTGGTCCTGATCATCACCCATATTAAGGGGACTTAATGGGGGAGGACTTTTTTGTTTGAGGGAGCAGGAAGTTCCTGGTCTGCGCAGAAGCTCTGGGATGTGGAGAAAGGGCGGAAGTATAAACTAGGGAAAGTGGGAGGACCAGGTAGGGAAAGAACTTGGTTTCAAGACTAAAGCTATCAACTTGAGAAAGTCAGAGAAACCAAGCAGAAGAGCAGTTTCGAGATTTAGAAACATCACTTTGGAAAACCTTTTCATGACAAAACATTGAAAATGCTGAGTGAAACCAACAGACATCCTCTTAAATGGATAGTTGACCTTGTAAGAAAGTAAAGGATAGTCCCAGAAGACAGAAATTAAAGTAGCAATGAAACTAGTCTGAGGAGAATATCATGCTTAGTAGAGAACCAGTAAATAAGAAGAAGCCCCTCAAAGAGATGAGTTGGCACTTTGGCTGCAACACAATCGGCTGCAACAGAGCATTGGTTGTGAGGATGGTGCAGGATGGACAGGGCTTCATTTGGTTACATGGTGCCCTGGAGTAGGAAAGCACTTGAAGGCACCTAACATTAGCAATGAAGCTGGAGTCCAGAGGTAGAATTCACTAGATGCAGTGGTTGGAGGAGGGTTTTTTGAAACCAGAAATCTAAAATCTTGGGGATTTAGAAGTCACTCATGGGGCTGGAGGGAAGCCCTTAGCTCTACAAAAGGTGGGGAGACCAACAACAAATTAAAGCCATGAGCTTAATGTAAGTGGGAGCTAGAAAGAGAAATCCTGGAAAATGAAGGAAATGAGGTAGCTTGCATGTGTGTGTGGATGTGTTATGGGGAGGGGGGGTGGTTCTTGGGCCTTAGATACTAGTGAAGAAAAAAAGGGGGGAAATAATATAAGATGAATGGGAGTGGAGGAAAGAGGGAAAGTGGGGAGGGAGAAGAGGAAAGAAGGGGAGGGGAAAGAAGGAGAGAAAAGGAAAGGAAAGGAAAAAAAGGAAAAGAGGTGAACAACACTCACCCTGCAGTTGACACTCACCCTGGGCTGGGTGGGAGCAAGCCCTAGCAATCTGATTCCATTCAGATGACAGCCTAGAAAACCCTGTGGCACTGTTCTTTGTCAGGTGTGTTTGGTAAGACCTAACCACTCTTTCTTTCTACCCTTTCTCTCTGTCGACATCTGTATTTGGGAGAGACTGTCTTGCACATTCTTATAGCAAGGCAAAAGACAGGTAAGAATGTGGTTCTGCCCCCCGCCCCAGCACTTTGGTGTGTGGGGGGTGGGGATCATAAGTCCAAGAGGTTGTCCCCTAGATCGGAAATCTCAAGTATCAAGGATCAGAAGGGAGAGCTTTTTAAAGGGCCATCAGCACATATGTGTCTCTCTTGGGCTCCCTCAATCTCTTGGGTCTCCTTGGTCCTCCAGAACTCACTTCAACACGCCATTTGCTTACCATTATGATAGTGCAAACTGGCCCCAAGAAGCTCCAGATGAACCCCGTCTCTGTATTTAGCCAGCATCTATGGGAGGGGAAAAGAAGAGGTACACTTGACCCAAAGTCATGAGCCTCAACGCAATCACTAATGGAGGAAAATGTTGGGAAGTGAAACTCAGATAAAAATATCCCCTGAAACCTTCAACCTAAACCATGAAAAGAAACAAAACAAAATAAAACTCACTGCCATAAAGTCTATTCCAACTCATAGTGACCCTAGAGAACAGGGTAGAACTGCTCCTGTAGGCTTCTGAGACTGTCACTCTTTATGGGAGTAGAAACCCTTATCTTCCATCTTAAGCACAGCTGATGGTTTTAAACGGCTGGCCTTGTGTTAAGCAGCCCTACATGTAACCACTACAAGAGTAGGGCTCCCTAAACTACATAACAGCTCAACTTAATCAGGGCAGAATGTCTGCCTTGAAGGTTGTGTTCTCTTAAGAACCATCTATATGAAATTGAATTCACAACTCAAAAGGACAGGTGGAAAGCTTAGGGGGAGTGAAACTATATTGATGGAGCAGGAACAAATCAGAAAAGGAAGGTGAGAAACTGGAGGAGGACATCCTTTTTGGTGAAGTAGAGGGCCAGCCAAGGCAAGGAAGACACTTCACGAGGTAGAATAGTACAGTAGCACCAACGATGGACTTGAAAATATTGGTAATTGCGAGGACAACACAATACTGGGCAATGTTTTGTCCTGTTTTATATGGAGTTCCCATGAGTCAAAGATGGCAGTTATCACTATCAACACTAACAGCATCACTATCATAAATTATCTTGCTTGGTGGTTTATTTGAAAATTATCTGCTTTCTCCCATGAGAATTTAGACCTTCGATGTCATGTTCATCTTTACACACCCACTTCCAGCACCCAGTCTGGCCTGGGCTAGATATTCTGTAGTTATTTGTTGGAAGGGAGAGAGGGAATAAAGGAAGGAGGAAGAAAGGAGAAAAAAAAATGAAGAAAGGATGTAAGGAAGGGAAGAAGGAATGAAAGGAGGGAGGGTGTGTCTGCAAGCGTGGCTGAGAGGAGGCTGACTGAAGAGTTATATCCTATCTCTTCCAAATCCTGAATTGTAACTAATTATTTCCTAATAAATCCCATAATCATGAGGATGGTCAGAGGATGCCGTTCCTATTCCTTCAGGACAAACCACTTCATTAAATGCTCATCAACTTCCAATGACCGGCATCTGTACCTCTGCCTGAGGAACCAAAGGTCAACTAATGATCAAACCTAGCAGAGAAGCAGAAAGTGTCATGGGAGGGGTGAGAAATGGTAAAGAAGATTGGAAGGTGGAGGCATGCCTGACCTCTGTTTCATATGAACGCCTTAGGCGATTGGTTTTGATTCTCTTCCACCTTGTCAAGTGAGAGGAAATCGACACCACATCATTTTACAGGGAGGGAGAGAGGAGAGTATAAGGTAGGAAGCAAAGAAGAGAAGGAATAGAGGCAGGAAGAAAGGGAGGAAGGGAGTGATGGGGAGATGAAAGAAAGAAGGAAAATCACTGACTAGCAAATCTCTACTGGGTATTTGCTGTTTTTACCCCAGTAGCAATTTTTTCTGCCCTGTTCACTAACAGCTCCCTAAATCTCTCAAGCAAAAGTGTGTTTTTCCCCCACTAGGGAAGAAAGGGAATCTAGTTCAATTATGATACTCTCTGTGTGGCATGTACATCTTGAACAGTACAGTTACACTAAGGCCGGACCTGCTTACATCATGAAGAGGATGCCGTTCCTATTCCTTCAGGACAAACCACTTCATTAAATGCTCATCAACTTCTGATGACCGGCATCTGTACCTCTGCCTGAGGAACCAAAGGTCAAACCTTTCTCCCTTCAATCAACCCCATATGATAGAATCGCTCAACAGGGTTTCCTTGTCTATAGTCTGACCAGAAGCAGAGCATCTGAGTTTTCTTCCATAGTTGATGGGTTTGAATCACCAACTTTAAGTTGGTGGCCCATTGCACACAGTTTGTATCATCCAGGGACGTGATTCACCTAGAAACCAAAATGAAACCCCTTGCCATCTCAACTTTGACTCTGAGCAACCTACAGGACCGATTAGAACTGCTTCCAGGGTTTCCAAGACAATGAATCTTTAGGGAAGAAGGTGGCCACATCTTCCTCCTGCAGAGCAGACTGAGAGCTTTGCACCACAAACCTTTCTCTTTCCCATATTACACTCAATACTAACCCCTGGAGTTGTGTAGTATCCAACCTATGCTTCTGTAAATGATGAACCTAACACTAATGGGCCTTAAACCAAGGCTCGTAAGTGGTAGCTACAACTAGAGCTACTGTAGCTGCTCTTTTCTTGCTCACATAATTATCCCGGTCAATTTGCAAATAGGTCTTCAAAGAAAAGGATTTCACTCACCGATTATGCATCCCATAACCCCGTGGTTGTGCACTTGCAGAAATGACCACCACCACTCCTGGGAGTCCATAGCCAAAGGCACAGAGGTGCAGCATCTTGATGTTGTGGGAGCTGAAGTAATTCACCACTTTCAAGTTTCTGACCATCAGGAAGAGCATTATGGCTTCCACCAGCATCCAGAAGAAGCAGGCAAGGAAAAAGTAGTGCAGGAAGCCAGCAATGATGGCACAACCAATCTGGACAGAAAGTGCATTGTACATTCAGGGCCCCACAAGGAAAGAAAAAGACCCCCATAGACTGGAGGAGGGGGTTGTCTACTGAATTTGGATTATATGTGAACATAGAGAAAACAAAATCATTACAACTGGACCAATGGACAACAGCGTAATAAACAGAGGAAAGATTGTCGTTGCCAGGGACCTCTTTACTTGGCTCAGGAGCAGTCAAGAAATCAAATCCTGTATTGTACTGGGAAAATCTACTAAAAACAAGGATGGTGAAACTCCATCTCACTTTGGACATTGTTATCAAGAGAGACCAGTCCCTGAAGAGGATATTGTGATTGGCAACGTAGATGCATAGTGAAGAAAAGAGAGACCCATGAAGAGATGGATCGACAGAGTGACTGCAGCAACAGACAACATAGCAATGATTGTGATGATGGCACAATACCAGGCAGTGTTTGGCTCTGTACGGCATCAACGGCATCTAACAACAACCAGGAAACCAGTTCAAGAGTGTGGGGAGGGAGGGAAGGGGGAGAATTTCCTTGACTACAGTTTCTCTAACCTAGCCCTTCTTTCAGCCTCCTGGCTCTTAGGCATCTTTAACACTATGCCTTTTCAAGGGTGACTGACCAATGCCACATGCCTGAGGCTGAGGTAACCCAGAATGTGTGGTTTTCAGTGCGAAGACCAGGGGATGTTAGTGCAAACTGGATGGTTGATCACTTTACTTTAAAGGCTGTTTACAGACATATTGCTATGTGCTGTCAATTCTAATTTGGAGTGACCCCACGTGACAGACTAGATTGTGCTGTCCTATGCTATAATCTTTATGGGAGCAATATCCAGTCTTTTCTCATGAGTCGCTGCTGGATGGGGCCAAATAACCTGCCTTGTGGTAGATGATCCAGGAAGCATTCGCCCATGGACAACTTGGTTGTCTTTGTAAATAAAGTGTATTGGCACACAGTCACTCCCATTTACAGCTAATCTATGATGCTTTCTGTGTGCAATGGCAGAGTGAAGTTGTTGAGACAGACACAGCATGGCCCCCAAATCTGAATGTACTTACTATCTGAACCATTACAGGAAGCTTCCTGACCTCTGGTCAAAGTGATGAGCAGAGCGCTACAAGCAAGGTCTTCTACAGTCAGGGGGAAGTTTATGCAAAGAATAATCATTCCACTTCAATGCCAATAGCACTCCTTTTGGAAAACCTGTGTGCCCAGTACCATCACAGGAGGTGAACTGGCCAAAGTTCTTGCCCTGATGGGATTCACAGTCTAGTGCTGCTCCTGTCATTTGTGTGCTGTCAAGTCTATCCCACCCCATGACAACTCAGTATGGCAGAGTAGAATTATCCTGTAGAGTTTGCAAGGCTGTAATCATGAGAGCAGATTTCCAAGCTTCGGTCCCATAAAACTATTTGGTGGATTAGAACCACTAATATTTCTGTTAGCAGTCAATGGCTTAGCTGAGAGGGTTTATCCACTGTGTCACCAGGACTGCTAATTTATAGTTGTGGAGGTAGCTATTGATTATTCAATAAGTAAAATAACAAATGATTTAAATGATTTCAATTAGAATTTGTGGGTAGATATAGTGAGGGAAGAAAGTAGTATCACAGCTTTGGCACCACTGACCTTTGGGGCCAGATAATTTTGGGTTGTGGTAGGTCATCCTTATTGAGTAGCATCCCTGGCCTCCACCCACTAGGTACTAGTATCACTGCAACCATCCATAGGTGACAATTATACATGCCTCCAAACTGCTAAATGTCCCATGGAGGTAATATTGTCCCTGCCTCCCCAGTTGGTAATCACTGGTAGGTTGTTGGATGCTGTTGAGTTGATTGCAGTGTGATGAAATATGACTGTTTCACAGGGTTCCCAAGGCTGTGATCACCAGGTCTTTCTCTTGCAGAGCCTCTGGGTAGACTTGAACTGCCAACCTTTTGGTTAGCAGTCTAGTACTTAACTGCCATGCCACCAGGGCTCCTTAACCATACAGGGAATGAGAGTAGGAGGTAACACATCAGGTAAGGGAAGTGACATTGGACTCAGAGCTATCCCAAGGAGGAGTCAAGTAGAGGAGAAGCTGAGGGGAAAATCTGATGGGCAAGACCAAGCACTCAGGGAGCTGGGTGAGGATGAACAGAGGCAGATGTGGAGACAGTGAGATATGAAGATATGAGACCTTGTTGTCAGTCTTGTCTATACCAACGAGGAAGAGACTCTTGGCCAGGAACAGGCACACGCAGAGATGCAGGTGGAGGTGGGTATTGTGGCTACGGATGGCCCGGCACAGCAGAAATGTGGCAATGGCCAGGGCGAGGCACACCAAAGAGATGATCATACCCACATGACTGATCACGTACAAGGAAAACTCCATCTGTCAGGGAAGAAAGCCATCCTTAGAGGGAGATGGTAGGAATGCAGGGAAAGAAGTATCCAGACCCCTGACTTGGGCAAAACCAGCCTAGGGCCTTTTCTTCTTCCGACACTTTGTGAGAACTCGATATTGTCCATCCCTGCTCCTTTGTCTCCCATCAGCATCCATTCCCTCCGCAGGCTATGTGCACCCCATTCCTTGCAGAGGCATGCTGTCTACCAACTACATTTTCAAAAACCCTCTAGGGTAAGATGACCAGATTTTAACATTGATAAAGCAGGACACCACTGATAAAACCCGGATCCTGGTGAAATAGCCACATGGCAGCCGAAAACCGTATACCCTAGTTTGTCATGCATTCTTTCCAAAAATCAGGACTTTTTAAACACGCCGTGGGACGTGGGAAAAATTGTTAAAAATCAGGACTGTCCCGCCAAAAGCAGACGTCTGGTCACCTTACTCTAGGGCTAAAGCCTTATATGTAATTTAGGTTTTCCAATGAGATGCTTCTGGAAAAACCTGGCAGACCTGTTTTCTGCAGTGATGTTTGAAGACAAGTGAGTCCCAGCAGACAAGGGTTAACCAAGGACATTCCAATGGCCCAGTTCCCAGTTTTATGAGTGTGAGAAGTATATGGCAGTAGTTTCGAACCTTTTTGCCCTATCTTCCAGCAGTGACCTTGAAGCAAAAATTCCTAGTGGCAGACCCTGACTTCAACTCCTTCATGCCTCATGGTGATTTTGTGAGCTATCGATTCCCCGTGTTAGATATCTTTCTGCTTGATAAAGTGATTTCTGTCCCCTGCACGGAATTCCAACTGATATGTAGATATGTGGAGCATCTCCAACTTCTGGGAAGAAATGTAACAAGCCAAGTCCTTCCTTTATTCACCTTAACATTTACATTTTATTTCAGTGTCCCATGTGTGCATCACTTTATGTTAAAAATACACCATGTCAGGGGCTCCCCTTTGTGATATTGTTACCTAGTGGGAGCCAAGAAACTGCTGTCCTGCCAGTTTCTGGGTATATGAGCTTGAGCATGACACTGGCATTGTTCTGTGCCTCAGTTCCCTTGTTTGGATAATAAATTTTAAAGGGCTGAACTTAGAGGCTCCTTCTTAACGTTTAAAGCTAATGTGAAATACAAGATCTGGCATAAAGTACATCGGATTTGTAATTGGGAGGGTGCCTATGTCCGTTTAGGGTCATTATTTCTCATCTTCTACATGAATTTCATGAATTGTTCTAGAACAAAGACATGCACACATCTTTATTGTCTCCATAATTGCCTCCCACAGCGCCTAGCTCCATTAGAGACACATAAAGGATATATAATAACTATTTTCCTTTGTATTTGGAGATGGCTATTTGGGAAGATGGGGAACAATCCACCAGTACTTACTGTGGGCTCACTGGAAGCCATGATGATAGCCAGGTTCCCCATCCGATTACAGCTGCAGGTGGTATGCATCTCAGAAGCATTAAGGACCAAACAGCCAGAGGGTGTCCACCGCCCTCCCTCTATGTCTGTGCTCCAGGAAACACACATCGGCTTCTCAAGTGCCTGCTTTGGCTGAAGAAAATCAAAGGTCTTAATCACTCAAAGCTCACCCTACAGTGGATTCAATGTGACTAGTGTTAAGACCTATTCGGAGCAAGAAGATTGGGTTATAATATTTAGGGAATAGAGGAAAATGCTACCATTCTAATGTTAATGTTCCAGTAATGGCCAACTTGATGAGGCAGAAAAGTTTACTCTATTGCTGGAGTAAAATCCTCCTTTCATACAAATCAGGACAAAACCTTCTATGTAGTAATTAGTTGATTCACTCATTTATTCGACACTTTTTTGTTGATGTTCTTAGGTACAGTTGAGTCAATTCCAACTCACGGTGACCCTATGTACAACAGAAGGCAACAGAGGACGGTGCTGCCTCATCTTCACAATTGTTCCTGTTTGAGTTCATTGTGGCAATCACTATATCAATACATCTCATTGAGGGCCTTCTTCTTGTTCATTGATCCTCGATTCTACCAACCATGATGTCCTTCCCCAGAGATCAGTCCCTGCTGACAACATGTCCAAAGTATGAAGTATGAAATCTGAAGTTTCTCCAACTTCCCTTCTAAGGAACATTAGGTTGTACTTCTTTCAAGGCAGATTTATTCATTTGTCTATAATTCTTTGACATATTCAATAAGGAACCCTGGTGGCACTCTGGTGGTCACAAAGTGGCAATTCAAATGCACCATTCAAGCCATGGGACAAAGATGATGCTGTCTGCTCCCACAAAAAAATTTGTAGCAACCATATGTGAGTCAACTCAATGGAAGAGGGATGGTATATTCAATATAATCCAAATGCATCCATTATTCCCATGACACCAGAGGACAGAATATAACTTTTTTCCTATAGGATTTTCAAGCCTGTGAATCCTTACAGGATCTGATTTCCATGTCTTTTCTTCCACAGAGTTGTTATCTTCTGAGCCCTTAATCAGTGTGTCATCAGGAATCTTCGTCCTAAGCCATCTGGTTCTCTAGGTAGCATGTATAGACTCTGCCAGGGAACTGAACCTCAAGTCTGTAGAGAGAGGAAGACTAGTGAGAAAGGCTTTTCTTTTTCACTGAATCCAACCATTCCCCAAGACTCACATGAGTGTTTTATTGTATTGCACATGAATCTATAAAGCTCTAAGGGAACAGTTAGCTTCATCGTTGTCCTGGGTACTTGCTATATTTGCGTCCGTTTTTGCAGCTGCTGTGTCAGTCCACCTCTTGAGGGTCTCCCATGTTGTCACAGATCTACTACTCTTCCATGTGATCAGGAAAGATTCGTCTGAGGAAAAGAACAATATACTTGGCAAAGTAGAGGGCCAATGAAAAAGAGCAAGACCTTTCCGGAGACAGATTGACACAATGATTCCAGCAATGCTCTTGAACATGAAAACAATGGTGAGGAGGACACAAGACCTGGCAGTGTTTTCCTCCCGTGTGCATATAGGGTCACGGTGAGTCAGAGCCAACTCAATGGCATCTAACAACTGCTTCCTTACCAAGCATGATGTCATTTTCCAGGGACTGGTTGCTCCTGATAACATGTCCCAAGTATATGAAACAGTTTTGCCCTCCTGGGTTTTGGGAAGCATTTTGACTGAACCTCCTCAAACAAATCTATCCAAGACACATTTTTTTGGTCTTCTGGCAGTCCATAATACTTTCAATATTCTTCACCAACACACATTATAATTCAAATGCATCAACTCTTCTGTGGTCTTCCTTATGCAATTGGGGTTTTCAAGTGCTTATGGGGTGACTGGGTCAGACACAACTTAGTCCTCAAATTGACATATTTGTTCTCTAAAACTTTAAAGAAGTCTTTTGTAGCAGTTTTTCCCAGCGTAACTTGTTTGATTTCTTGACAAGAATTCACTGATTGTGGGCCCAAGAAAATGACAATTTCAATCATTTCTCCATTTATCTTTATCATGATACTGTTTAATGGTCCAATTGTGATGACTTTTGCTGTCTTTACAGTGAAGTGCAATCCATACAGAAGGCTTCAGTCCTTGATCTTCATAAGAAGGTGTCTCTGATTCTCCTAGTTTCAGAAAGGAAGATTCAATCACCAGCATATTGAAAGTTATTAAAGAGTCTTCCTCCAATCCCGATGCCACATTGTTTTCCATATACTTCAGCTTCTTGGATTATTTGTGCAACATTATTTGTTCAGACTGACTAAGGATGGTGAAAGGATACAAACCTGAAACACACCTTTTCTGACTTTGTTATGATCCACGTAGTCAAATGCATTTGCCTAGTGACCACAATAATTCTCGAAGCCTTGGTTTTTGGTTATGCTTTCAGAACAGCTTGGACTTTTCCTTCAATCCAATTGGGTTTTGATCAGAAGCTATCTCTTGAAATAGCTGAATATTTACTCATCTTTTTTGGTTCTGTGACTCTGTGTATCCCTACATCATCTTTCGAAGATTCCTGCATCATTCAATATTTTACCCATAGAATGTTCTGATATTACAACTCAAGGCGTACATTTCTCCCCCTTCAGTTCTTTCAGCTGCAGGTATACTGAGCATGTTCTCTCATTTTGCCTTTCTAAGTCCAGATCGGTGCATAGTTTGTTATAATGCTTTACTTTGCTTTATTGTGTGGCCACTGAAAATTTTGTGCTCAAATCTCTTGCTTCTACCATTTGCTTTATCTTACTCTATGTTCAAGAACACATTTCAAAGTCTCTACTGACATTCATTTCGGTCTTCCTTTCTTTTCTGTTTTTGTTTTTTTAATAGCTGTTTGCTTTCTTCATATATTGTATTATTGATGTCACCTCACAGCTTCCTAAAAGTTTATCTGTCATAAGAGTTCAGTGTGTCAAATCTGTTTCTGTAGATAGTCTCTAAATCCAGATAGGATCTACTCAAGGTTATATTTTAGCTCTTGTGGGCTTGTTTCCATTTTCTTCAGATTCAATCTGAATTTGTTTTGTAATTGTTAGGTGCCATCAAGTCGATTCTGAGCCAGCGTAACCCCATGCCCAACAGAACAAAACTGCCCAGTCCTGGGCCGCCCTCATTATTGTTCCTATGTTTGAGCTCATTGTTGTAGCCACTGTGTCCATCTATCTCATTTAGGGCCCTTCTCATTTTACTACCCTCTATTTTATCCAAGCATGATGTCTTTCTCCAGGAACCGATCTTTCCTGAAAACATGTACAAAGTATGCAAGACGAAGCCTCACCATACTTACCTCTGAGGGGTACACTACACTGGCTATACTTCTACCAAAACAGATTTGTTTGTTCTTTTGGCAGTCCATGGTACTTTCAATATTCTTATTTGAATATTTCCAACTCATCCATTCTTCTTCAGTTTTCCATACTCAATGTCCAACTTTCACATGCATATGAGGCCGTTTAAAACACCATGGCTTAGGGACCTCAATCATGATGTTACCTATTGGTCCAGTTGTGAGAACATTGAGTTGTAATCCATACTGAAGGCTGCATCCTTGATCTTCATCAGGAAGTTATTCAAGTCTTCTTCACTTTCATCAAACAAAGTTGTGTTACCTGCTTATTGCGGTTGTTCATAAGCCTTCTTCCAACCCTGATGACATATTTTTATTTCATGTAAACCAGTTTCTCTGATGAGTAAGCTTCTCTGGTTGAGTAAGTATGGTGAGAGGATACAACCCAGATGCAAACCATTCCAGATTTTAAATCATGCAGTATTCCCTTGTTCTGTTCACACACTGCTTCTTGATCCATGTACTAGTTCTACATGAACACAATTAAGTTTTCTGGAGTTCATATTCTTCTCAAGGCTATATGTCATTTGTGATAATCCATGCATACAGATGCCTTGGCATAGTCAATAAAACGCAAGTGCCTAACTCTCCAGTAATCTCTGTGTTCAGCCAGGATCCATCTGACATCAGCACAGTGATATCCCTTGCTCCACATTCTCTTCTGAATCTGACCTGAATCTCTGGCAGCTACCTGTCACTGTACTGATGCAACTGCTGTTGGATAATCGTCAGAATTATTTTACTTCCATGTGATATCAATGATATTGTTCTATAATTTGAGCCTTCTGTTGGTTCACCTTTCTTTGGAATGAGTATAAATATGGATCTCTTTCAGTCAGTTGATCAAGTAACTGTTTTCCAAATTTTCTAGCATAAATAAGTAAGTGCTTTCAGTGCTTCATCATCTTCTTGAAACATTTAAATTGGTATTCTGTCAATTCCTGGAATCTTGTTTTTGGTTAATGCTTTCAGTGCAGCTCGAACTACTTCCTTCATTACCTTGGTTCTTGTTCATATGCTAACTCTGGAAATGTTCAAATGTTGACTAGTATTTTTTGGTACAGTGACTCTGTATTCTTTCCAACTTGGTTGATGTTTCCTGCAGCACTCAACATTTCCCCCTTAGAATCTTTTAATGTAACTCCAGGCTTGGGTTTTTTTTTCTTGAGTTCTTTCAGTTTAACATATGCTGAGAATGTTGTTCGTTTTTGGTTTTCTAACTAAAGGGCTGTGAAAATTTCATTATAATACTTTATCTTCTTGAGATGCCTTTGGAATTTTCTATCCAGTTCTTTGACTTTATAATTTCTTCTATTTGCTTTAGCTACTCTGCGACTTAGAACAAGTTTCATAATCTCTTCTGACATACAATTTGAACTTTTTTTTTCTTTCCTGTCTTCTTAATAACCTTTTCTTTCTTCTCGTATTGTATTCTTGATTGAGTTTTCTGTCACTTATGTTCAATGCAGCAAATCTATTCTTGGATTCTTATTTTATTTTATTTTTTAATTCATGTGAGATAGACTGCAGGTCAAATTTTGGCTTTCCGGTGCTTGTTTTCATTTCCTTCAACTTCAACCTGAACTTACATATGAGTGATTGATGGTCTGTTACACATTCAGCCTCTGGCCGTGTTTTACTGACATTGAGCTTCTTCATCATCCCTTCCTACAGATATTATCAACTTGATTTCTGTGTATTCCATCTAGAGAAGGCCACTTGTACTGTGGCTGTTTGTGTTATTGAAAAAAGGTATTTGCTATCAACCAGTTGTTGGTTTGCAAAATCCTATCACCCAAGCTCCAGTTTCATTTCTATCACCAAGACCATATTTTCTGACTACTCTTCCTTCCTTTTTGTTTCCAACATTTGAATTCCAATCATCAATAATAATCAATGAATCTTGATTGCATGCTTGATCAATAACAAACTGAAGAATGTGGTAGAATTCTTCAGTTTCTGCATCAGTAGCTTTAGTGGTTGGTGCATAAATTTGAATACTAGTTTTATTGATTGCAATTCCTTGAAGGTAGATAGATGTAATCCTCTCACAGACAGAATTGTACTTCAAGATAGCTCTTGAAATGTCCTTTTAGACAGTGAATGCAAAGCCATCCCTCTTGATTATGTCATTCATGGCTTAATAAACCATATGACTCTGATTCAAAAGAGCCACTACTAGTCCATTTCAGCTCAATAATGTCTCAGATATCAATCTTTATGCATTCTATTTTATTTTTTTGAAACAGACTATCAATTACTCATTTGTAAATCTGGACTTACATATGAGAAATTGATGGTTTGTTCCAAAATTGGCTCCTGACCTTGTTTTGGCTGATCATATTGAACTTTTCCATAACCTGAGGTTTGTGGATTTCATCTGGTGAGTGACACCTGCATGGTCACCATTTGTGTTATTGAAAAAGTATTTACAGTGAAGAAATAATTCATTTGCAAATTTTATCATGCCATCTCCAGCTTATTTCACCAAAGCCATACTTTACAACTACTGTTGCTTTCTCTTTGTTTCCACTTTTGCATTCCAATTGCCAATGATTATCAATGCATCTTTATAATCAATGCATGTTTGATCAATTTCAAATGAAAATAATTGATAGAAAAGTTCAGCTTCTTTATCACTAGCTTTAATGATGGCACATATATGTGACTAGTACTTGAATTAACTCATCTTGCTTATATTCATATAGTTGTAATCCTTTCACAGACAGCATTATTCTTCAAGATAAATCTTGAAATATTTTTTCTGACCATAAATGTAACACATTTACTCCTGAATGTTTCCTTCCTGGCATAGTAAACCATGTGTTTGTGTGACTTCTAGTGGCCAACATCAGTCCATTTTAGCTCACTAAATGCCTCGAATATCAATCTCTGTGTTAGACCAGGTTGACTAGAGAAACAAATCCAGAGACACTCATATAAGAGAAAGCTCTTTATATCAAAGAGCAATTGTATATTGAGACATTCCAAGCCCAGTCCATATCAAGCTTATAAGTCCAATATTAGCCCATATATCTGATACTAGTCTATAAATTTCTCTTCAGACTCACGCAGAATTGATGGCAAATGCAGGAAGATCACAGGCCGGTGGGTGAAAAGTCTTGTGGATCCAGTGGCAATGGAAGCATCTCAGCCCTGACCCAGGTTGCCATGTGGCTCCTCCGGTTCTCTGAGTGTGGCTCCTCAACAGCCAGGTGAAGCAGACAGAGAGAGAGTGTGTGGCCCACCTCCCATGAGAAAGGGAAGTCCCCAGAATCCTCATGAGAAGGTCAGGTCCACAAGGAGGCATAATCAGGCTGTGACCTGATTGACAGGCTAGACTCCACCCCTTTACTCTTAGTAACCTCAAGTTGACATGAGATTATGTAACTACCACAATTTCTATATGTTGCATTTTACTTTTAACAATTTCCAATTCCTAGATTCATCTTTTATACATTTCATGTTCTGATTATGCCACAGGCATAGCTAATATGTAAACCAGTAGGTCTTTCTGCATGAACAAGCCAATCTAATCTCAAGCTTGGTCTTCACTGAACAGAAGAACACCATGCACAAATAATAGAGCTCATTCTGTTAAAAGCAATAGGAAAACTTGGAAATAGCTGAATGTCACAGTTGCACACATGATGGACACAATTAATGTAACTACATTGTACCTGTGAAGAAGGTTGAGATGATAAATGTTACAGATTCACCACAATTTTAAAAATAAAAATGTAGAATAAATAAAGGAATTCATTAATCTAGAGATGGGTTTTGTGAATGAGCTTGAGTTGCTAGAAATTATAAAAAGCTTAAACCTTGGTGAGTCCCCACCACAAATAAGAATTAAATTTGATGATGGACAGGAAGTTCTCAATGAGTAGACGGGGGCTCAGTAGAGAGTTTACCACAAACCTGGGTATTCTCCAGAGAGTAGATGATTGTCTCTGAGAAGCCATCTTTCTTCTCCCCAGTCATGACACCCATAATAATTCGAGAATTCATCCTGAACTTCTTTGAGTTGGTCAAGTAGTCTTGGGGGTCTTGGAAGTAACGTTCATCTAAAATGGACTCCATGCCAGAAAAGGAGACAAGCGCTACCCCAGTGGTGCCTGCAAGTTCCCCAAAAGAAAAGAAATGGGGTATGCAAAGTAGTTATTGCAGCTATCCCAACACATACACACACACACACACACACACACACACATATCCCATGTGCCCCACTGCTCTGTTCATAAATAACATTGGACTTCCAAAATAATAACCCTCTATGAATCATTGAAAAACAATTCCAAGCTGCTATTACATAGATAAATATTGACTACATTTAAAATTAATTTGAATTATTTTCATATATGATGTGAGGTATAGTTTCAGGTTCATTATTTTGTTGTATGGACACTGAGCTTCTCTTAAACCTATGGTCATCAAGTCAGTACTGGTTCATGGTGACCCCATGTGACAAAGTTCAACTGCCCCATAGGAATCTCTAGGCTTGATGAAGGAATACCTGGTGGTACTCTGAGATAGATGTTGGACTGCTCACTCCAAGGCTAGTAGTTCAAACCCACCAGTCATTCCATGGGATGAAGTTATAGCTATATGCTCCCATAAAGATGTAGAGCCTCAGAAATCCTCTATTGGGTCATGATGGGTTGAAATTGACTCAATGGCACTGGGCTTTTAGGGGTTGGGGGAAGGTAATACTTATGGAGAATTTTTCTCCCTCAGAGGAGCTAGGAGATTCACCTTCTAAGTTTGTGGTCAAGTTCTTAACCACTGAGCCATTGGGGCTCCTTTCTGTTATGGGTGAACAACACGGTAAATATGATTATTGTCACTGAAGTGTACATGAGAATAATGTTGAATGGCAAATATTTTGTCTTCTTTGTTGTTGTTAGTTGCCATTGGGCTGACATGGACCTGCCAAAGGGCATCCTTGTCACCTAAAATATGAGTAATAAGTACCTGCAAAGTAGGTGCAAGAAGGAAGCAGGAATAGACTGGCCACTTCAGAGGAATTAGACATTGAAAACCTTTTTTTTTAAAAATCAAAAAACCAACTCACTGCCAGTGAGTTGATGCCAACTCAGAGTGACCATATAGGACTGGGTAGAACTGCCCCTGTGAATTTCCGAAACTGTAACTATTCACAGGAGTAAACTGCTATGTATTTCTCTCAAGAACCTGGTGGTTTCCAACTTCTGACCTTGCAGATCGAAACCCAAAGCATATCCACTACACAACCAGGGCTCCTGGAAAACCTTATAGATAGACTAAAAATATTGCCAGTTGGTGAAAACCTCATGAATGGAAACTGAGCTTTGTCAGAATTAGGACCAGAAGATGAGAGGGCAATCAGGTCAGAAAGCACTCAAAATATGACTGAAGAAATGCTGTCTTCTCAAAGTAGAGTCGACCATAACGACATGGATGGACTAGTCTGCAGGAGTAAAGCCTTTGGGACCTTCATTTGCTGATGAGTCATGATTCAGAATGAGAAGAAACAGCTGCAAACATCAATTAATAATCAGAACTTGGAATGTAAGAAGTACGATTCTAGGAAAATTGGCAGTCATTAAAAATGGAATGGGACCCATAAAGATGGATATTTTAGGCATTAGTGAGATAAAACATACTGGCCATTTTGTTTCAAAAAATCATGGTTTACTGTGCTGGGAAGGACAACATCAAAAGGAATGACTTTGCTTTCATTTTCAAAAAAGACATTTCAAGAGCTATCTTGAAGTATAATGCTGTCTGTGATAAGATAATGTCTTTATGAATTCAAGGAAATCCAATCAATAAAGTAATTCAAATTATTAAAATGCTAGTGATTACAAAATTGAGTGATTCTAGCAAATTATTCAGGCAAAAATTGTTCAGATATGCAGTGAAGATCAATAATAACTGATAATGATTGATGATTGGGATGCAAAAGTTGGAGACAAAGAAGAAGGATCAGTAGATGGAAAATACGACTTTGGTGACAGAAACAAAGCTGAAGATTGTATGATAGAATTTTGCAACATCAGTGACTTCTCCATCAAAAATCTATATATTTTTCTCAACAACACTTCAGAAGGAATACACAGAAATCAAATGGACTAAATTTGTGGAAATAGACAATGGGAAAGCTCAATATCAGCAGCTAACACCGGGCCAGGGGCTGACTGTGGAACAGATTATCAATTGTTCATATGTAAGGTCAGATTGAAGTATAGGAAAGCAAGCCCAGGAGAGCCAAATAATAACTTTGACTATATTGTATGTGAATTTCGAGAATATTTCAAAAACATAGTTGATATGATAAACACTAATTATCTGATGAGTTATGGATGACATCAAGAACAACATATATGGAGAAAGCAAAAGGTTGTTAAGAGGACAGGAAAGAAAGAAAAGATCAAAGTGGATGTTAGAAGAGACTCTGAAATTTGCTCTTAATCATGGAGTCGCTAAGACAAACAGAAGAAATGATGATGTCAAACAGCTCAACAGAAATTTTCACATGGCAACTAGAGAAGATGAAGTAAAATATTATAATAAATGTGCAAATACCTACAGTTAGAAAACAAAAAGGGAGGGATGAACACAGCATATCTTAAGCAGAAAGATCTTAAGGAAAAAAATAAAGCCACAAGGTGAGATGTCAAAACAGTCTATAGACAAAATATTGAAGTATGCAGAAAGTATCAAAAGAAGATGGAAAGAATACATAGTCACTGTACCCAAAGGAGCTAGCCAATAGTCAAACCTTTCAAGAGTTAGCATATGAGCAACAAGTAATGACACTGAAGGAAGAAGCTACACCGAAAGCATTAGCCAAAAACAAGGCTCTAGGAATTGAGGAAATACCAATTGAAATGTTTCAACTATATGATTAAGCACTGGAAGCACTTACTCATCTGTGCCAGGAAATTTGGAAGATAGCTCCTTGGTCAGCTGACTGGAAGAGATCCATACTTGTGCCCATTCCAACGGTGACTCAACAGAAGGCTCAAATTATAAACCAACCTCGCTGCCATCGAGTCAAAGATGATTCATAGTGGCTCCCTGTAGGTTTCCAAGACTGTAATTGTTTATGGACGTTGAAATACCAGTTTTTCTCTTATCATTGATATCACACACAGGTAAATTTTTGCTAAAGATCATCCAACAATGGTTGCGGCAGTACATTGAAAGGGAGCTGCCAGAGGTTCAGGCCAGAGTTAGAAGAGGACATAAAAAAGAACATATCTTTGCTGGTGATAGACGGATCTTGGCTGATAGTGGAGAATATCATAAAGATGTTTACTTGTGATTCATTGATTGGGCAAAGGCACTCAATTGTATGGATCAGAAGAAAGTACAGATAGCCTTGAGGAAAAAAAAGGGAATTGGAGAATACTTCACTGTGCTCCTAAGGAACCTGTACAGTACATGGATCAAGAGGCAAATGTCTGAACAAAACAAGGGACTGCTAAATGGTTTAAAATCAGGAAAGGTTTGCATCAAGGTTCTATCCTTTCCCTATACTTATTCAATCTACATGTTGAGCAAATAAGCAGAGATCCTGGATTATACAATGAAAATTTGGCATTACAATTTGAGAAAGACATATTAATAACCTGTGATGTGCAGATGATAGCACCTTGTTTTCTGAAGAAGAGAACTTGAAGCATTTGCTGATGAAGATCAGGGGTTGTAGCTTTCACTATGGAATACAACTCAATGTCAAGAAAGCCAAAATCCTCACAACTGGACCAGTAGGGAACAAGATGATAAACAGAGAAAAGATTGAAGTTGCTAAGGATTTCATCTTGCTTGGATCCACAGTCAATACTCATTGAAAGCAGCAGTCACGAGATCAAACGGTGCATTGCAGTGGGTAAATCTGTTGCACAAAACCTCTTTAAACTGTTGAAAGGCCAGAGTATTACTCTGAGGACTAAAGTTGGATGTTGAATAATTCTATGTATTGTGATGAATTGTATGAGCCCCAATAAATTGATTTTTAAAAAGTAAAATAAATTTTAAAAAAAGAAAGAAAGAAAGAAAGGCAGCAGAAAAATCAATGCATTTGAATTATGGTGTTGGTGAAAAATATTAAAAGTAGTGTGGACTGCCAAAAGAACGAACAGATCTGCCGTCAGAGAAGTACAGACAGAATGCTCCTTAGAGGCAAGCATGGTGAGACTTTCTCTCATGGACTTGGACTCTCACCAGGAGAGATCAGTCCCTGAAGAAAGAAATCATGCTTGGTAAAGTACAAGAGCAGCAAAAAAGGAGGAAAGCCCTAGATACGATGGATTGACACAGAGGCTGCAACAATGGCCTCAAAGATAAGAACAATGGTGAAAACAGTGCAGGACTGGCTGGTGTTTCTTTCTGTTGTACGTAGGGGTTTCCTTTTGTTGTACATAGGGTAGCTATGAGTTGGAATGTAACAACACCAACTTAATGCACTACAACACCTTTCTGTGATTCTCTAGAGCATATCTCTACCTGCAGATTCCGATTCCTCAATTGTGGAACATCTGATCTTCATCCCATCCCCTTTAGCCTTCAAGTTGAGGAAGGCTTCCTCTTCATTGCATTCTTCTTTGATAACTTTACTATCAACGTCTGAAAGAAGAAAAGAAGAGCTTGCACGTGATGACACAGACTGTCAGCCCTGAATCTCATTTCTACCCACTTTGGTTGCACGTTCACAGTTGCAAACAATACAAAGAATACAAAAGGCGGGTCTTGGACCCTCAGATGAATAACAAGTGAGCGAGAAATCCAGTTGGGGTGAAGCTGTCTCGAGGACAGGTGGAATGGAATCAATAGTAGTGAAACGCAACAGAATCATGGCCTCCCAGCTACACCAAATGTAGATTCGATTTAGTGAGCTTTCCAAATCCAAAGGAGGCACAGCTGATGTTGATGGTTTTTGCAGCACTGGACGGCTAACCAAGAAGGTTCTAAGTTTGAGTCCACTGAGGGGAGCCTCAGCAGGAAAGGTCTGACAACCTCCTGCTGCAAATGAGCCATTGAAAACGCTATGCAGCAGTTCTGATCTAAATAAGTGGAGTCCATCAGCTGAAAGGTTGTCTATTTGAGTCCACCTAGAGGTGCCTTGGTAGAAGAGTCTGGCAATCTGCTTCTAAAAATCAGTCATGGAAAACCTGTAGAGTGTAGTTCTCCTCTAACACACATGGGAATTCCATGAATGGTGGTGAACTCAACAGCAACTTTTTAAAATGTATGTTTTGTAGCTATCCTGGTGTCCAGTTGGAATGCCACTCTGTGTTGCAGTCACTCTGGGATCCATGGGACTCAGGCAGATGCAACAGCTGTGAGGTGGGGCATTGCCCGGTACTGTGGCATACAGAGAGAATGTTCCAGAAGCTCTCTCACTGGTAACCATCTTCTTTGAAATTCCTTAACCCTAGTCAGTCACAAAAACCCCCACCTGAGCCCAAAGGAGCCAGTAAATGTAATGCTACCATGGCCCTGGAAGAGAACACTGGAGTATTTCAATACTGAAAATGACAACCGTATGGTTGAATGACCAGCGAAAGAATTTTTGCCAAACACTCAGTGGTGTTGTTGTTATGACTAGACTTGTTTTTGTTATGAGGTCAAGCTTTTTTAAAAGTTGGAAAAATAGGAGAGTGAGAAAGCCACGGGGGAATCACATTGGCCAAGGTCACCCCTCAAAGTCAGTGCCCAGGTGTGACCTGACCACCAAGGTAGGACCTACCTACAGACTCAGTCTGAATCGTCTGACTATCATTCTCTGAGGGCTTCAGGAAAGCTGCCAGCACGGTGTTTTCCACGCTCTCCAGCACAATGGTAGCCAGCGTGGACGTCTCTTCCTTGGTGAAATTGGACCATGTGTCTGTTTCTTCAAGCACACTGGCAAAGCTCTCCACCGCACCCTGGAAAGAAAGGCCCAATCACTCAGTTAGGACTTCGTAAACAGCTAATTCAACTATGCAGCTAAAGATTAAATGTTCAAATCTATGCAGAGGCATCTCCGAAGAAAAGTCTGGCTTCAGAAAAATCAGCCATTGAAAACTGTATGTCAGGCCCTTCTACTCTGACACATGGGGTTGCTATGACTCAGTGTTGATTTGATAGCAATTGGTTTCCTGTGTATGGGTACATCTCTTTCTCATCAATGAGACAACAGCTGTTCTTTCTCTCTCAAGGCTCTCAGGAGACTTGGTGGTACAACAGCTAAGATCTCAGCTGATAATCAAATGTCTAAAAGGTTCACATTTCAAAACCACCCTATGGATTCTCAGAGAAAAGATATGACAATTTACTCCCATAAAGATTATTGTTGTTGTGTTGCTAGGTGCTATCAAGTAGGCTCTGACTATTAGCGATCCTATGTATAACAGAATAAACACCGCATAGTCCTGCACCATCCTCATAATTTTTCCTGTGTCAATCCATCTTGCTGAGTGTTTCCCTCCTTTTTTCTGGCCCTCTGCTTTACCAAGCATGATGTCTTCCTCTAGGGACTAGTCCCTCTTGGTAACATGTCCACTGTACTTTAGACAGAGCTTCACCATATAGCTTCATGGATCATTCTGGCTATACTCCTTCTAAGATGAATTGGTTTATTCTTCAGTCATACAATGGTATTTCCAATCTTCTTCACCCAAAGAATAATTCAAATGCACTAGTTATTCATATTTTTTCTGATACATTGGTTCAGTTTTCACACGCACATGAGGTGATCAAAAATACCATGGCTTAGGGCAGGTGCACCTTAGTCCTCAAAGTTATATTTTTTTATTTCAACACTTTAAAGAGGTCTTTTGTGGCATAGTTTCCCAATGCAACATGTTCCTTGATTTCTTAACTGCTATTGTCATCCATCTGGTTGTAAGTAAAATTAAACCCTTGACAGCTTGCATCTCTTGTCCATTTACCATGATATTTTGAATTGGACAAGTTGTAAGATTGTTGGTTTCTTTATGTTGAAGTGCAATCTTTGATCTTCATAATTAAGTGCAACATGTTGTCTTCACTTCCAACAAGCAAAGGTGTGTTATCAACATATGGTAAGTTGTTAATAAGTCTTCCACCAATTCTGATGACAGACTCTTCTTCATATAGTTAAGCTTCTCAGACTATTTGCTCAGCACATCGATTGAAAAGGGCTGAAAGCATTCAACTCTGAAACAAAGCTCTTCTGATTTAAAACCATGTGGTAGCCCCTTGTTCTGTTTAATTCACTGCCTCTTGGTCTGTGCACAGTTTCTGCATGAGAAAAATTATGTCTTCTGGAATTTCTATTCCTCTTGATGTTATTCTTAATTTGTTATTATCCACACTACTGAATGCGTTTTCAGAGTCAATGAAATGCAGATAAATATTTTTTCTTTCATTTCCTCCTGTCACTCAAGAGCCATCTGATATTAGCAAAGATATCCCTGATTCCAAGTTCTCGTCTGAATTCCCCTTGAAATTTCTGGAAAGTCCCTATAGATGTAGTGCTGCATCCATTTTTAAATTATATTCAGAAAAGTTTTATTTGCATGATATATAAATAATATTGGTCTATAATTTCCACATTATGTTGGGTCACGTTTCTTTGCAAAGGGAATAAATACATATCTCTTCTGATCATTTGGCAAGTTAGCTGTGTTCCAACTTTCTTGGCATAGAAGAATGAGTGTTTCCATTTGTTGAAACATTGCAATCTAATTCCTTCAACTTCTGGAATCTTGTTCTTCACCGATGTCTTCAGTGTAACTTAGACTTCTTCTTCAATGCCATCTTGATCCTGTGCTACACACTAAAAAGGTTACACAATGGCCTATTCTTTTTGGTACAGTGACTCTGTGTATTACATCTGCTTTTGATTCTCTCATTCAATATTTTGTCCAAAGAATCCTTCAACATTTCAACTGAAGGCAAGATTCTTTTCTTCAGTTCTTTCAGTTTGAGATACGCCGAGCATGTTCGTCCCTTTTGGTTTTCCAATCCTAATTCTTTGCACATTTCATTATAATATGTATTTTGTCTTCTTGAGTTGTCCTTTAAAATTTTCTGTTCAGTTCTTTGACTTCATCATTTCTTCCTTTCATTTTAACTACTCTGTGTTCAAGAAAAAGCTCCAGAGTCTCTTCTGACGTACATGCTGTCTTTTCTTTCCTTCCCTTTCTGTGTCTGAAATTCACAGTCAATCGCTTATATACAAGTTCAAGTTGAAGGTGGAGGAAATTAAAACAAGTCCATGAGGGCTAGAGTATGACCTTGAGCATATCCCACTTGAATTGAGAGACCATAATAAGTATGATACATTGAACACTAGTGACTGGGTACTTCAAGAGTTGTAGGATATTATAAAGTGCACCATACATGGAGAAAGCAAAAGGTTATTAAAAAGGCAGGAAATAAAGGAAAGGCCACAAAAAATCCAGACTAAAACCCCTATGGGGCATTATCTCCTGTCGTGTGGGCTCACTGTACATTAAACGTTGACTCCATGACTCCTAACAATAATTACTTGTCTCTAGATATATAATTAGGAGAGTGGATAGATAGATAGATAGATAGATAGATATAGATATAGATATATAATCAGGAGAGTGACCTAGACCTGGAAGTCTAGGTCAATAGAGAATTAAAAGGATGAGTTAGTTAAAGTTTATTGTGCCAACCTTGCTGATAAACAAATGTGCGGTTAATTGAAGGGTGGAGCAATAAATGGCTAGGTGTGCCTCGCCTTTCGAGTTCTCTGATCTCTTGCTTTATGATGGTCAGACCAGGGTGCAGCTGCCTTAGCCAGTTCCCTGCTTCAGCTGGCAAGGCTCACTTCGTGTAAGACATCCCCAAGAAGAAGCCGCATGGACCTACCCTGATGCAGCCCTGGGTGCTGAAGCACCCATGCGGAAACCCCTGCCAGTGCTGAGATGCTTACACATTTGCTGATTTGGCCTTCCTCCTGCAGTTAGCGTCATAGTGTGTGCTTTGTGAAATGGAGGAGGACTTTGTGGATTGGTGTCGAACATATGGGTTAATGTTGGACTTGTGGGCTTAGGCAGCCTTGGATTTGGATGTTTTCTTGATGTGCACTTAACCTTTATATAAAACTCTCTCTTATACATATGAGTTTCTGTGGATTTGCTTCTCTAATGTACCCAGACTAACACAAAGGGTTCGTTAGCCATTCAATCTCCTTCCCTGATCCAAGAGGCTCCATTGGGAATGCAAATTACTGTAGCCTTTATGGGATGAAATAGCTGTCAATTGTGCATAGGTTTTGACTTAACAATTTCCATTCCAAGAATTAATCCATCTGGAAGTATTTTTTTAATGATCCAAGGCTATGTTATAGTATGGTTTTTAATAACAAAAAGTGAGAGATTCTATTGTCCAGGAGATGGATTAAGTCAATTGAGGAAACTACACCTTACTACAATATTCAGGTGCCAAAACAGAACGATGCCATACATCTAGATATCTTACCCAAGAAGTCCAAGTGCTATGGTTCAGTAAAAAAAATTATGGAATTACTCAAAAGACAGTTGATAAAGAAGACTCCATGATTACCTCCAGAGAGACAGCCGTGGTTTTATTTTCACAAGCACCATCCAGAACACTGAAGGTGGCATTCATTATGGCACAGAAGGGCACCTGTATCCCCAGGAAAAGACCTTGATTAGTCGCAACCACGGGCAGTTTCCTTCTCACATAGCCATCCATCTCACCATGAGGGAGATGGTGAACCCAGCCTGAAGGGAAACCTCAGTTGAGGTCCTGAACTCTGAAATGCCATGCTCTGATCCTGCATCGCCAATGCCTTTCTGCCTCTCTAGAATTCTCAGGGATATAAAAACTCACCATTTGACCACAATAGAAGTAGCATCACCTGTCTCTTCTATGAATTATAAATAAGTAAACAGCAAAAAAATTTAGTGGGGATATGTGTTTAAAACACACACACAACAAAAAACAGTGTTCCAAGGATTTCAAATCTGCTGTACAAGTTCAAATGATGATACCCTAACACAGTGGTTCTCAATCTTTCTAATCCCATGACCCTTTAATACAGTTCCTCACGTTGTGGTGAACACCCCAACCATAAAATTATTTGTGTTGCTACTTTATAACTGTAATTTTGCTACTGTTATGAATCTGGCAACCCATAGGGGTCGCAACTCACAGGTTGAGAACCACTGCTCTAACACCATCAACACAAAAGCACAACTTTAGTCCAAGATGGCAGCTCCAGCTACTGCTCTCCCAGTGGCATTCCAGTTAATGGGAAGCAGGAAGTGGATTCTTAGCACATATTGCCAGGATTTAGGGGTTAGAGGCAATGGAGAGTGACTGCTTGATGGTTACAGGGTTTCTGTTTGGATGAACAAGATCTGAAAATTCTGCTTAAAGGCTTAAAAAAATGACAAACAAAAAGTTGTTGCCATCAAGTTGATTGTGACTCATAGTCTTGGCTGTCACCTTTATGGAAGCAGATTGCTAGGTTTATCTCTGCAGGTGGGTTCAAACAGCCAACTTTTAGTTTAGGACTCAAGCATAAAGCATTTGTTTCACCCAGGACCTGGGTTTTTTAAATGAGACAATGCAATGATCTAGTAAGCCCACTCCTAGGCATGCAACCTACAGAAAACAAAACTCATGTTGACCAGAGAATCTGGCCATGGATACTTCTAACAGCTCTATTCTTACTCACCAAAGGCTGCTAACAACCCAAGGGTTCCTTGTGGCCTGAATGGGTGAACAAACTGGTATATCCATGAAATGAGGGTCACGGTGGTTCAATGGAAGGTTTCCTACCTTCCATACAGGAGACCTTGATGTGAGTCTCAGCCTATGTTTTTTGTGTGCAGCTACCGCCTGTCTCTTAGTGATATGATATTCAGTAGGTTTAAGTAGAGCTTCTAGACTACGATAGACTAGAAAGAAAGGCTTGTCGCTCAACTTCTGAAATCCAGCTAATGGAAACCCTCTGGATCACAACAGAGTGATCATGGAAATGCGGAGTCAGGCAGCATTTAGTCCTGTTGTGCACAAGGTCACCATGAGTGGGGGCCAACTGGACAATGCCTAACAGTATCAACAGCAAATCCATAGAAGGGGATATTCCCAAGGCCATCAAGTTAATCCAGACTCCAAACAACCCTATAGGATGAGGTAGAATAGTCCCTATGGGTTTCCAAGACTCCAGCTCTTTACAGGAGTAGAAAGCCTTGTCTTTCTCCCACAGAGCGGTTGGTGGTTTCCAACCACTAACCTTGGCGGTTAGCAGCTCACCGTGTAACCCATTACACCACCGAGGATGAAGGATTACAACAACATGGATGAGCCTTAAAAACATTATGCTAAGCAGTGATAAGCTTTACTGATGCGACTTCCTGAAGCTGACCATGAATCTTTATTACTGAAATGATATTATTAGAATCTTTATTACTGAAATGGTATTATTAGAGAACCAGGAAGTTCAAGCACCATTCTGTCCACCATGACTGTGTATCACTCATCCCATATTACTCAGATGTTCATTAGTGACGAGACTTCGATATAGTCCCCAACCCCTTCTTCAGGAAAACAATCCCCAAGGCAAGCAAATGTCTTACCTTCACAGCTTCCCTTGCAGCTAGATCTCACTGTGCAACTAATTATTGACCAATGTTATGTGAACAGAAGTGATCTTGAGCCACACTCTTCCAGGGTAAGAAGGTACTTCTCATTGTCCCAGATGGAACACGCATGTGATGGCAGGTGCCAACGCAGCCATAATGGACCACAAAATGAGACACTTATGTTGATGGTGACAGAGCACTACAGAGCAATCATGTCAACTTTTGGCAGATTATGTCAAGACTCTTCCAGGGGAAAGAAATAAACTGTTAAGTGTTTTTAAGCCAGTTATTTTGACCTTTATGAAAACTGTAAAAACAACATCCTGACTAAGTAGCTTCTAGGAAAACCTCAAAAACCAGGGATATTTAAAAATACTTACATTTCCAGGACCCATTGCTGCTCTGCCTTGGCATTTCTGGACCTGCTCATTGTCGGGTATAACATCTTCTTTACACTTTAAGGTAACCCCTTTGGAAGATAACAAAACCAACCAAAGTTAATCGAAGCAAAGTACAATTAAAAAACAGGACTGGATTTGACGTAAAACAAGCAGTCGTCTAAGTGGGGCATCAGTTAAGACCACACAGAAGAAGCACACCAGCCTGTGTGACCCATGATTGTAAATAATGAACTCCAAATCTGGAGGAGAGATCAGTGTTAGAGTTGAAATTCCAAACACCCAGTTTTCAGAAGGCTACTGATGGCAATAAAAGCCCACAATTCATTTGCAGGACCCCCACCCCCAAATTAAACCTCAGGTGAATCCTCTCAGACTATGGACCAGGGATGGGAAGGGCCATGTTATCAGACAGAATGCACTGTAGGGTGTATTTAGGTTGAAATGTGACATTTTGTATTTGACCTTCCTTTTGATCCAAAGTATACTTGTTCCAGTTTCATATTCTCTGCTTTCTTTTAGATTGAGATCCTTGTCTTTTATTTTGTCATTGTTGTTGAGTTGTTTGTTTCATTTTGTTTGGATTTTATGTTTCTCTGCATATGAAATCCAGGACAGGTAAATCTATGGAGACAGTAACTGGATGTATAGCTTCATAGGGGCATGGTGTGGGAGGTTGGTGAGAAAGGGAGAGCTAATAACATGAGTACAAGAAAGGAGAAGTGTTTTTAAGGTGATTGTGGTGAAGATTATGCAACTCTTTTGAATAGGATCAAACTACTGATACACATGAAATGTTAATTACACGTCAATAAAACTTTTTTTAAGGCAAGTCTGATTATCTTTTAAAATCTGAAACTCCCTGCCATCAAGTTAATTACAACACATACTGACCCCGTAGGACAAAGCAGAAATGTCCCCGTGGATTTCTGAAATGCTAACTCTTTATGGGAGTACAAATTCTCATCTCTCTCTTGAGAAGCAGATTGTGGTTTTCAACCACTAAACTTATGATCCCAACGGTGATAAAGGAACAGTCACATATTATAGTACTGGACATTTTGAGGAACCTGATGGTGAGCTTTAAAAAGCAAGGTAGAGATGCCCTTTTTAAAGTGAGCACCCGAAGAGAACTGTGTTCTTGTTGTTGAGTTGCTGTTGTTGTTGTTGTTGTTGTTAGGTGCCCTAGATTTGGTTCTGACTCCTGGGGACCGTATGGACAACAGAACAGAGCATTGTCTGGTCCAGTGCTTCTTCCAAGACAGATTTTTTTTTGTTCTTTTGGCAGTCCATGGTACTCTTTAAAGTCCAAAAAGAGGCTGTGTGGGTGGTGGCTAACTTCACGATGGGGAGCACCACAGATCAGTCGGCTGTGCTCATCCAATCAGGAGTCCTGAAGCCCCTGACGAGTCTGCTCATTTGCCATGACCACAAGACCGTTATCATCATCCTTCCGACCATCGTCTATATTCTCCAGTCTGCAGTGAATTCTCACGATTTGGAGAAGCTCCATCTCACGCTAGAACAACTGGGTGCCATTGAGAAAACTGAGGCATTACAACTTCATGAGAACCATCAGATTGGGCAGACTGCGTTCAACATCATCAAGAACCTTCTCACAAAGGAAGATGACCTTGAAGATAGCATGCACTTCAAGCCTGAAACTCTAACCCCTCCAAACCCCACAATTTCCAAGCCAGCACACAAACCCTAAATGAGCACTCCTTGCTTCAGAAGCCGTACTCCTCGCACTCAGCACGCCCCAGGTAGAAAGCTGTTTTCAGAGTTAAATAAAGGGTTTTTTGACCCTTCAATATCTTCCCCAGCACCCTAATTCCATTCTTTGAATAGAAAGCAAGGGAAAAACAATACACAATATGATGCATCAATTCTTCATTGGTCTTAATCAATGTCCAACTTTCACATGCATATGAGGTGATTGAAACTACCATAGCTTGGGTCAGGCGCACCCTTTTCTCAAAGTAACATCCTTCATTTTCAACACTTTCAAGAGGTTGTGCAGCAGATTTATCCAATGCACTGAGTCATTTAATGTCTTGACCGGTGAATCCATGAGCACCGGTTGTGGATCCTAGCAATATGAAATCTTGACAACAATGTTTTCTCCATTTATCATGATGTTACCTGCTGATTCAGTTATGACTATTTGGGTTTTCTCTATTTAAAAAAACATATTTTGTTATGAATTGGGTGAAGAGTTACAGAGTAGATTGTCAGTTTCGCATCCAACAATTTAAAAATATTTATACAGATCTTGTTTCATCACATTCAATGTACCACCGATTACCCCACTTCCTACCTGTGTTTATTGTTTCCATTTCTCTTTTTTGCTAACACTTATGGATTTTGTTCTTAGGTAAATGCTGCCCTTTTGATCTTAAATGGTGATTATTCTAATATGTCCTATACCTCACTGTGTTATTTCCCCCTTAAAGACCTATTTATTATTTTAATAGGTTTATTGATGTAAAATCCCACATATCATATGCCTCCACAGTTAAGTCACTTTGAAAATTCCCTCACCGATCAGGGAATTTCAGTCCTAAGTCTAAGGCCTATCGGTAGTTTTGAGGTAGAACCCAGTTGGTCTTCCACATCAAGTTTCTCTGGTGTCGCCCACGGAGGATTCCATGTTCCCTGTAAGGCCAGTGTCTATAACATCATCGTAGAGCTTAGTTCATGGAATGGTTCACCAAAGGTTGGGTGGAAACATTCAAAATTGTCTATTTAGGAACATAGAATTAGGTTTATTCTCCTCTGGGGTTCCCCACAATTATTACTGAGCATCCCTTCCCCATGTGAGGTGGTTCCTCCTCATTTACCCACCAACAGAATTATAAGTGACCCCTCTGAGAAGTACATGTTCACCTCCCCTGGTCTTGACTTGATTTTCCAGAAAGGTTCTCCTCTCATTCCTGTGGAGTGTCTGTGATTTGTCCCCTCTCCCCACCTCCCAAAGGAATGACCCCAGCTGATGTGAGGTGTCTTCTTTTGAGGTGGTTCTTATGACATGCATATAAGGTGGGGATGTATGATTCATGGCCAGCAAGCAGATTTCCAGCCCTTTGTTTGGGAATTGACCTCTAAGATGTGCTTAATTTGTGTTTCTCCTTACAGTAGTGGACTCACAATATTTGTCCTTATGTCCTGGACTTACTTGACTCAGCATAATGGTTTCCAGGTCCTTCCATGGCATGGGGTGTTTCATGCTTTTATCACTGTTTTTTAGGGATGCATACATAGTACTGTACAGGATTATATCATCGGCAAATAGCGAGAGTTTCACTTCTTTGCCTGTTTGAATTCCCTTCATTTTGTTGTTGTTGTTGTTTTCTGATGGCTCTAGCTAAGACTTTCAGTACAATGTTTAATAACAGTGGTGATAAGGGACATCCTTGTCTGAGCCTCATTTTCAGAGAAAATAGTTCTGGTTTTTCCCATTGAGTGTGATATTGGCTGTTTGGTTTTTGTGTGTGGATTTTATTATGTTGAGGAATTTCCATTTTTTTCCTATTTCGTTGAGTGTTTTCATTCTTAAAACTGGGTGTTAGATCTTGTCAAATGCCTTTTCTACATCTATTGATATAATCATGTGATTTTGCTTCTTTGCCTTGTTTATGCAGTGGATTACATTGATTTTTTTAAATTTTGAATCATCCCTGAAGCCCTGGAGTACATTCCATTTGGTCATAGTGAATTATTTTTTGTTATGATGCTGGATTCTATTAGCCAAAATTTTGTTAAGGATTTTAGCATCTATGTTCATGAGGCATATTGGTCTATAATTTTCTATCTTTGTAAGATCTTTGCCTAGTTTGGAAATCAGTGTTTCGCTGTCTTCATAGAATGAGTTTGGGGTGTTGTAATTTTCTATATTCTGGAATAGTTTGTGTAGTATTGGTGACAGGTCTTTTCTGAATACTTGGTAGAATTCCCCTGTTAAACCTTCTGGTCCTGGGCTTTCCTTGGTTGGAAGTTTCTCAATGACCCACTCTATTTCTTTGTTTGTTATGGGTCTGTTGAGTTTTTCAACATCTGTCTGAACTAATTTGGGTGGATAATGTATTTCTAAGTATCTGTCCATTTCTTCTATATTGTCAGATTTATTTGAATACAGTTTTTTCACAGTAGAGTGTTATTATTCTTTTTATTTCATTTGGATCTGTTGTAATGACACCCTTTTCATCTCTTTTTCTGAGCCTGTGGATCTTTTCTGTTTTACTTTATTTAGGTTGCAAAGAACCAACTTCTTGGCTTGTTGATTTTTTTACATTTTGTTTGGTTTTCTACATTGTTTATTTCTGCTCTAATCCTTATGATTTCTTTTCTTCTTTTTTTTAAATAGAGGTTTTATGTTGTTGTCCTTGCTTCTCTCAGTTATGAAGTGTGTTATGTTAGGGTTGATTTTGTATTTTTCCTCTCTTTTCATGTGTGTGTGTTGATTGCTATAAATTAGTCTTTAATTGCTGCTTTTTCTGCATTCAAAGGGTTTTAATAGGCTATGTTATCATTCTTGTTTGTCTCAAGGAATTTTTAAATTCCCTCCCTTATTTGCTGTATTACCTAATCATTTTGGGATATTATGTTGTCCAATCTCCAAATATGTGTCTCTATTTGTCTGTTCACTTTATTGTTGAGTTATAGTTAGTTTTATAGCATTATGATCTGAGAAGATGGGTTCTAGGATCTCTCTCTTTTTTTAAGTTTGTTGAAGCATATTTTGTGGCATAGTATGTAGTCTATTCTTGAAAATGTTCCATGTGTGTTATAGAATATATACTGGGTTGTTGGATAAAGTGTTCCGAATATATCTCTGAGGTTGATTTTGCTGACTGTGTGGTTGAGCTCTTTTTTTTTTTTAATTGAGTTTTTTCCTTGATGGTATGTCATTCATTGAGAGTGGAGTGTTGAATTCTCCTGCTATTTTTGCCAAGGTGTCTGTAGCCTTTTTCATTTCTGTGAGGATTTGATTGATGTATTTCAAAATTCTTTCACTGGCTGTATATAAATTTATTATGGTTATACCTTCTTGGGCTATGGTTCCTTTGATCATTATGTAATGTCTGTTTTTGACTCTTATTATGTTGTTTGCCTTAAAGTCTATTTTTGCAGTGATTGATATTTCTACACCTGCTTCTTTTTGTGGTTGCTGTTTGCTTGGTATGCTTTTATCCAGCGTCTTTTTATGTCTGTGCTTCTTGTATGTCTGTGTCTAAGATGTGCTTCTTTTAGGCTCCATATTGATGGGTTTTGTTTTCTTATCCATTATGCTACTCTCTGTCTTTTTACCGGTACATTTAGCTCATTAGCATTCACTGAGATTATTGATATGTATGTATTTGCTACTGTCATGTTGTTTTGTATTTGTACACATTGTGTGTGAGTGTGTGTAGTGTGATTCGTTTCTTTGTTTCTCCTGTATTACTTTGCTGCTTAATGACTTCTTTTTCCTATACAGGTATAGAGTCAAGGACCCAGTACAGATCTCTTTAAGCACAATACTTCCTTTCCCAATCTTCACCCTTAGATTTTCTATATAATAAGAATCCTTGATCCTCATAACCAAGTGATTCAAGTCTTCCTCAATTTTTGCAAGCATGGTGTGTCATCTGCATATCGAAGGTTGTTAATAAGCCTTCCTCCAACCCTGATACCACATTTTTTTCATGTAAACCAGCTTATCTGATTATTTGCTCATCACACAGATTTAATAAGTATGGTAAGAGAGTACAACTCTGACAAATGCCTTTCCTGATTTTAAACCACGTAGTATGCCATTTTTCTGTTTACACAAATGTCTCTTGGTCCACGCACAGGTTCCAAATAAGCACAATATGTATTCTGTGTTTCCCATTCTTCTCAAGTCTATCCATAGTTATTATGGTTCACAGAGTAACATGCCTTAGCATAGTCAAGGAAACACAAGTATACACTTTCTAGTATTCTCTGCTTTCAACTAAGGTCCAATTGCCATTAATTATTATATCCATTGTTTCTAAATAAATAAATAGAGGCTCACAAAGTAACCTATGGAGTGAGAAAATTGACAAATAAGTAAATGAGCAAATTAAACGAAAGTGAATCTCTGAATGTGGTGAGGGTCAGGGGATCAGCCAGAGGTTAGGGATAGTGAGGATTTTCTAACCAAAGCAAGTCACAAACTCTGTCGCAAAGACACACAGGGTAGGCTTACTTTTGCAGTTGAAGTTTCTGTCTTTCCAGGAGCTTTCTGGGTCAGGACGAAACCCTACCATGCATCTACAGTTGTAGGACCCCAGAACATTGGTGCAGACAGAATTGAGGCCACACAGTAATTGATCTTGGAAGCACTCATCAATGTCTACAAGAAATTTTAAAAAAAGATCAAGACACTCAAGAAACAAAGTGATATTTCTTCCCGGGGTTAATCAACAAGCCTCTGTTCTCCTAGACATTCCACCACTTGGTCCATGAAGCTCAAGTGTCCATTGTTCAATGCAAAGCCAGGCTCCAACTCAAACTTGATGCCATGAGTTGATGGCATCTCATAAGAACTCGTAGGAACCCCAGTGGTGTAGTGGGTTCTGCATTGGGCTGCTAACTTCAAAGTGAACAGTTGGAAAGCACCAGCCACTTCAAGTGAGAAAGAGACTTTCTATTCCCATAAAGGTTTACTGTCTTGGAAACCCAGAAAGGCAGTCCTACTCTGCTCTGTGAGTAGGAAAAACAGGATAGCTGGTTCAAAAGAAGCTCCCAGGAGTGTTGTTGTATGTTGCTTTGAAATCACATGTGGCAATGCACTCATCAACATTTGTGATGCAGAGAATAAGTATGAAGCATGACTAGTCAATAAGTCCAACTAAAGTCACATTCCAAATACATAGAAAATAAAAATACTTACTGATTGCTAGGGATAGGAAGAGGGAGAAAGTGGGCACTTTGGCTTAGAAGGCACGGAGTTTATATTAGTGGTGGTGGAATACTTTGGAAAAGGGTAACAATAATGAGAACACAACACGAAAAGTTAATAGGTGCCATTGAATTGCAAATATGGAATATGCTGTCCTGGCAGATGTTTTCGCTTGTCTATTTTCACCACAATTAAAATAAAGTACGTAAAAACACATTGCCACTGAGTCAATTCTGAGTCATAGTAACCAATAAGGCAAGGTAAACTCACCCTTTTGCGTTCCCAAGACTGTAACACTCTCTTTTTTATTATTCATGTAGTTATGATTTTTTAATTGTGGCAAAATATACACAACAGAACATTCTCCAATCCAAAAAAGTTCTACAGATAAAATTCAGTGTCGTTGATTATAGTCTTCATGTCATACAACTATTATCGATACCCCTTTCCAAATTAGTCCTCACCATTAATTTAAACTCATTGCTTCCTATGCATCAATTCTTCCTCCTTCCCCCAGGGTATCATTGGTCAAGTTTGGTTTCTTTCTTAAGATTTTAACTTTTTAAGGGAGTAGAAAACCTCATCTTTCTCCTGTGGAGCGGCTTGTGGTTTCAAATTGTTGAATTTGGTGTAACCTATTATACCAGTGGTTCTCAACCTTCCTATTGCCGCCACCCTTTAATACAGTTCCTCATGTGGTCGTGACCTCCCCCAGCCATAAAACTATTTTCATTGCTACTTCATAACTATAATTTTGCTACTGTTATGAATTGGGTGACCTCTGTGAAAAGGTCTTTCAACCCCCAAAGGGGTCATAACCCAAGTTGAGAACCGCTGTACTATACCATTATGGCTGCTGCTGTGATGCAACTCAGAAGATGCAAGGAATAAACAAGGAGTCTATTAGTGAATCTAGTAGGCACAATGCGTCTTAAACTGGGTATTACTGTGGAGAGTTAGGATGAGAAGCTGGGATAGGAATATAGATCAATCTGGGGCTCCAAAAAGTTGCAAAAACCACCCTGGGTTGGGAGATACAGGAATGCAATCCTTCAGTTGGCTAGTATTTCAGAAGTCAATCTCCAAGCTTTTCTTCCTAGTCCATCTTAGTCTGAAAGCACCACTGAAGTCTGTTCAACATCCTAGCAATAGGCAAGCCTCTACCTACCAAGAGACAGGTGGTGCCTGCACATAAGGTACATTAGCTGGAATCAAACCTGGGTCTCCCCTATAGTGGATGAGAATTATACATATATTTCAGAGATGAAATACATACATATATACTAGGAGTGACATAGTTTCATTCTAAATCAACCATGAAGAATAGGTGCTCTCTACCTTCACAGGTGGAATTCCTAGAGACGAAACCAGCCTGGCAGCTGCAACTGTAGCTTCCCACAGAGTTGACACAATCAGAGTTCTCTGGGCAGATGCTACTGTTGAGGCACTCGTCCACATCTGGGGGACAGAGGAGGACAGGTAGTAGGCATGACCAGGTGTTCAGGTTCGGAAACACATACCAAGCCAGGAAAAACTGTTTACCAAAGACCCTGTGCCTGAGAGCATTACCTGAACAGGTGAGTCTTCCTGTCTTTCTGGGGACCCAGGTTGTTCTATGAGCGGCTGAGAACCCTGGGAAACAGCTGCACTTGTATACCCCTGGCAGGTTTTTGCAGAGCGAGGCAGGACCGCAGAGTGATGGTGTCGCAGAGCATTCATCCACATCTGGGCAGAGAAAGCAAGGGGATCACTCGTGTATCAGATTGCACTTTCCAAAGATGAGTGTAATGGGATTCTGGCCTGCTTTCCAGCAAGAGTTGGGAGGGGGGGTGTTAATGCTTCCCCAACTCTCTTGACTGTGACTGTTGGTTATAGCGGAAAGGAGTCTCACCAAACCCATTGCTCACATGTCTATTCCAAATCACCACAGCCCTACGTGTCTCAGACTAGAACTGTGTCCCATAGAGTTCTCCATCCTGATTGTTGGTTTGGTTTTCTCTTCAAAATGATAGAGCCAGGCTTTTCCTCTGTTTTTGAACCACCAATATTGCCGTTGGCAGCTGAGTGTGTTAACCCTTTGCATCACCCAAGGACTCCCTTTGTTAGATATACACAACATGGTGGGGTGGGGGGAGGTGATCAAAAAGAGGAGCTTCCGGATGAAATCAGCAGCTATTTCTGAGTCGGAGCCTAAAGCATCATTTTTCTGTCTGTTGCCATCTGAATGCTACTTGCTAAACGTTGGGAAAAAATGTTTACAAGGACCAAGAATCATCTTAGTGATCACAAAACAAGGAAAATCAGCTGGATGTGGTCCATGCACGCCATGGACACTCATCCACAAAGAGAGATGCAGCACTGATGCACGCTTGGCTGAAGATGGACCTTGAAAACATGCTGAGTGAAGCGTGCCAATCTCAAAAGCACAAGTACTCGTCTATACGAACTAAGCAATTATCTAGAAACCATTAGGAATTAGTGGTTATCAGGGTGAGAAGGAGGGAGAAATGGACTTTTGCTTGAGGGGTTGGGAAGTGGTTAGGCTAATGGGGGTTGATATAGTTAGTTTATTGTGCCAACCTGGCCGATAAACACATGTGGGGTTAATTGAAGGACAGAGGGATAAATGGCTCAGTGATCCTCACCTTTCGAATCTCTTGCTTTCTGATGGTCAGACCAGGGTGCAGCTGCCTTAGCCAGTTCCCTGCATTAGCTGGCAAGGCTCACTTCCTGCAAGACATCCCTGAG